TTATTGACATACATTCTGAATAACTAAGTATGTCGAATATAGAAAGGATTTTTTCAAAATAATATTTTTCATAATTATCCAACATTTTCATTTTACCTTTAAGTGCAGAAAAAGAACATTCTTACGGGGCGTGGAACATCAACATTTACTTTTGTTTTTATAATCAATGCACAATTCCGTTCCTTTACTTTTCACATTGATATCATTTTGAGGAATTTACAATGACAATTAAATGCAAAGTTACAGACAGTCTATACTCAAAATGATGTTATTTGTAACAACATTTAAATTCAATAATTACATGTACAACAACAATCCTACAAAAACGCATGCAGTAGATGAATAAGGATAAGACAGCTAACTCGAACTTTATGTAAGTCATCTCCCTTAGTTTGGTCTGCATATATGGATGTAATGAGTGGAGTTGTTTAACATTGTAAAACAAAATGAAATGATTGAAAATGACAATAAGATACGTAGTACATGTAGTCATTGAAATTTACATATTTATAATTGTTTTCCTTTATGAATTATCAAAACTAGATTCCTGATGATATCTCTGATGTCGATTTCGTACTGATCCAATTTGAAATATCTACCTATTTCCTAAGTCCGAAGTGATTGGTGATTTATTAACATTTCTTATATTATATACAGTTTATTAAATAATTATTAAACAAGACGTTTTGAACCAATGTGCCTAAAGTGATTATCGATTTGACTGACGCAATTGATTTTTGCCCTAATTCAACTAAATGTTCCTAGTTATTTTCGTTATCAGCAGAGTGGCGCAGTGGAAGCGTGCTGGGCCCATAACCCAGAGGTCCGAGGATCGAAACCTCGCTCTGCTAATATACACATTTTATGTTTTTCGCATTTAGTTCAATCCTTTCCATTTATATAAGGTCAAATATCGGAAATAATTTCATAATTTCCTTGAAATGCTCCGCATCCATTAATTAGATCTCGTTTCAAAATGATATCTCTCAAGAATCCAATATTTTCCAAATGATATTTTGACTAATCAAATCCACAATTTTATTTTATTTTTCGGAAAAGCTAGTTTTGTTATTCATAGAAAAACACACAATAAGAAGAGTGTCGCAGAGATCCGAGGATCGAAACCTCACTCTGCTAAGATACATTGAGTATTTTCGATGATGTTATTCCTTTTCAACAATATAAACACATATCTCGGACTTATTTTCACACTTTTTGAGGCATTATTCTTGTCGAGTAATTAAAGGGGTTTTTTAAACGTTTTTCCAATGAAATTATCAAAACTAGTTTCACTATATCTCTGTGGCAGGGTTCAATTGTACATAGGATTAAGGTCGCCTTCTAGCTTCGAGCTAGGGGGAATTTCCCTTTAGCTCAGTGGTAGAGCGTCCGACTAGGAACCTGGAGATCGAGGGTTCGATCCCCGGTGGAAGCGCACTATTCTCTTTCCTGTTACAAATGGTGTCCGTGGCCCTCTCTGTAGTGACAGGGAGTTAGAACCTAGGTTGTGGTGTTCGAGGCCAAACACATTTAAAAAAGGGGGGAGTAGTGTGGCAGGGTTCAATTGTACATAGGATTAAGGTCGCCTTCTAGCTTCGAGCTAGGGGGAAATTCCCTTTAGCTCAGTGGTAGAGCGTCCGTCTAGGAACCTGGAGATCGAGGGTTCGATCCCCGGTGGAAGCACACTATTCTCTTTCCTGTTACATCTCTAATGTCGATTTCGTATTGATCGAATTAAAAAGATCAAACTGTTTCCCTAACTAACATATACAGCACGTACTTGTGATATCTGCAAATGAAATGGTATGTAAAAATGATCAATCAAGATGAACAGTGTTAGATATAAAGTAAAAACATGATTGGTGTTTTATGAACATTTCTTATACTATAAACAGATTATTGAATAATCATTTAACAAAATGTTTGAGGGCGATGTCGTAATAGTGACTTTGGATTTTTTCTAATGCAATCGATGTTTGCCTTAATTCAGCTAAATGTTCCTACTTATATTCGTTATCAGCAGAGTGGCGCAGTGGAAGCGTGCTGGGCCCATAACCCAGAGGTCCGAGGATCGAAACCCCGCTCTGCTAATATACACATTTTATGTTTTTCGCATTTAGTTCAATCGTTTCCATTTATATAAGTTCAAATATCGGAAATAATTTCATAATTTCCTTGAAATGCTCCGCATCCATTAATTAGATCTTGTTTCAAAATGATATCTATCAAGAATCCAATATTTTCCTAATGTTATTAGCAGGTACTACTTTCTACATTGTTATGAAAGAGGGAAACTTTAAGGTATGTTGTCTCAAAACAATTCATAGGATTCACATGATATGTTGCTTCAAAACAAGCATTACTGCACACCACTATCTGACGCTCGGAAACCCCCTCTCTATAAGTGTCCCTATGTAAATGCTGTAGCGTATCTAACAGCTCATGATTAAGTGCTCAGTATCGCTGCGTCATCACTTAAGTACATACTTGACAGCCCATCACGGATTACTCAAAAGATAGATGGTATTCATCCTTATGTGTTTATCTCAAGATTCACATGACTAAAACAAGGAAGGGGATATTGCGTACTTGTCCCTGTTTCGACGTAAACGTGACCAATAGTAAAATGAAAAATAATACTTTCTATTTCGGCAAAATTATATATCAAACCTGGTCCGAAAAACAAATATTTCCATAAATTTGCACAGGCCGTCAAAATTGCCATTTTGAACAATATGTAATAAAACATGAGGAATTTCTCGTACTTAAATGCATTTTTGACATACCGGTACCAACTTTTGGGCTGTTGATCAGAAAATATCATTTAAATCCTATTCTGAAAAGGTGGTACAGTACGGAAGCCTATACGTGTCATCTTATTTCTTATCTCGTTATAACAAGATAGCTTATCTCGTTATAACAAGATAGCTTATCTCGTATTTGTTGGGTTTTGGGTGGGTTTTTTTTATTAACGCACTTTTAACTAATCAATAGGAGTTGCATGTTTAGATTTTTCAAATTTGATATTGGACATATATTTCAGACTTATTTATCTGGGTTTAAGTCTCATTTTGATGGACGAATGTATCAACAGATCATTAATTTCAATTATGTATGAACAAGCTATATGTTCCTGTATTTATACAAGGCCATGCGATGAAAATAAATAACTGTTACATAACTTGAATTTGTTTTCATATTTTTTGGATTAAGGTTTTATTTTCTTCCTTGATTTAATTTCCCTGTAATAGCCATAGTACCATTAATAATTATTATATAAGCATTGACCAACATATCTGATACGACAGTGAGCGTACATGTACTATTTTTTTAAATATGTAGTCATCGAATGCACGTTTGTCTGGTTTAGGTTTGGTTTTATATTGTTTAACGTGCTATCAACAGCTAAGGTCATTTAAGGACTTGCCTACATGTGTATTGTGTATGCGTGCATGTGTGTATGTGTGCCGAAGACAGGGTATGTTTGTGAACTAATGTCGATTGTATAGTGCAATCTCACTGAAATGCCATGCCGAAGGCATCCAGCACAGCATTCCGCACGGTCACATTATACTGACAACGGGTGAACCAGCTTTTGCCATAGGCCTAAATGCTGAACTTAAAGTTCATAACAACTACCATTTTTAAAGACTTTGGTATGTCCCAGCCTGGGGACAGAAACCATTGCCTTCCTCACCTGGGCAAAAGTTCAACATTAACGCCAAAAGTAAGGTATCGCCAAACAAGGCGCTAGGAAACAAAAGATAGTTAGAAGTAGAAAGAAATAGAAATATCCCAAATATTGCAATGGGTGCAGCAGATTTATTTTGGTCGCTTTTGTGTCCCCTTTATGAGGGTACAAAAGCAAACCCCCAATTCTTCAGGGGGTTTCCGCCATATTCGCCTCTTACGATACATGCAATGAGTAACAGCGGGTATATTTGTTTCTCGATCCCCAACCTACAGGGGTACCGAATGCACGTACATGCGTGATCTTTTTAACCGTATCAATTCGGCGAACTGAAATAGGTGTTCAGTGGACCTTTACGTGCCAAACCTCTTTAATCTTCAGAAATAAGCGCTGCAATTGTTTTACTTCTGAAATATAAAACGTTCCGATATAACGGCATATGGTAGTTTTGCAATAGTGTTCATTTCAAGAATTTGTTATAAGGTCATCGTTAAGGGACACTCAAAGTGTGGGTGCAATATTTCTTCAAACCTAGATGTGTGAACACAGTTTGTTGATACACGTGTCTGTGAACATTTTTGATAGTGCACGTTTGTAGTACACATTTTGTTGACACACATATCTATCACAAATTTGATAAGGCACGTGTGTATGTGTGACACATTTTGATAATACACGTGTGCATGAATATTTTGTTAATGCACATGTGTATGAATATTTTGTTAATCGCGTTTCTATGATATATTTTGTTAATACATGTGTTCATGTCATATAAGTTAGCACAGTTACAGTAATTTACACAACTGACCTAACTTACAGAAACCACATATCTGACACCATCGCTAGTATTTGTAACATCAAATTAATATGACATCATATATAGTTGGATGGGTTAAAAGAACTTATATAAACCACACATCACCGAAACCTACCTGATTTTTTCAAGACATCGAATTACGTGTCTATGTTAAAACAAGTATCTATAATTAATATTTAGAACTTAAATATGATCATTAATACTTGTTATTGCATGTAGTGGTTAGAATTATACTAGTAAAGCTCGAGGGTCTGTGTTATACATGTAGCTCAAGAAAATTTTAAGTGCTCATGACGATGTGTATAGCTCACAATGAGCATTAGTGATTGTTTGGTGAAATATAGCTCACGATGGTTTATTGCTCGTATAGGTGTATATAGCTTACAAGGATTTTAGTGACCACTAATGTGTATTTATTTATTTATGTATTTTTACCATCTTAGCTCAATGTCCGTGACAGCTTACGATGTAGTATAGCGCACTTAAAGATGTACACGTGACGTGTATATATTATCCAAGATAGGAAAGCATCTTGTATTCAGTCTGATAGAATTGAAATCTAAGATCGATAAATAGGCTGTTTTATTAATGAACGACACACACGAGATAGGTGACCAGTGTAGTTAGACATGTCACCACCTCTCCCGATCATCCTCACTCCGCTGACCGCCGTGGGGCACGCTGGTATTGTCCAGCGTCATAATAGCCGTCACACCTACAGCGACCTGACCTCAGGTTAGGTCAGTTAGGATGAACAATGGTGTAATTGAATAATTAGGGAAGTTTCTATAAAGACAATCTCTTCTCTCTGTACTCCAGCCATGGGAGGTTACGGGTTTCACGCAAGATTGTTTTGTAGGGACGATTCACTTTCACCTGTGTCAGAATTAAATGGCCAATTTTTTCATGAACGTTTTGCATTCAAAAGTGTGCGTTTGATTAGAAATGGCAATTTTAGTCGTTTTTGACATCATGGGAAAATGAGAAATACGGACTTTTTAAAATGGGTTAAACGTAAATATCATTGGGTAATCACTGTTGGTATCGCCTGGCTATTTGAGCAGTGTGTGTTTCTGGGATTTTGTTCCAAGACTCTCCAGGTAAAAGACCTTTTAAAAAATGGTCAACACATTACAAAGTGTGTTTGATAGTTCTCTGTTCGGAACCTGCCAGTATTCGTGTCCTAAAATAACATGCAAGACACGCAAGAGACGGCACGTGCCTCACTCTCAGAGATCACCAGAGTATGTCCTTCACCGTAACACCCGGGAACGAAGGAGGGTCGAGGCCATCAACGACGCCTTTCAGTTGCTGAAGAAGCACGTGCCGTTAATAGATGAGACGGATGATAAGGCGTCTAAAGTCGGAATCTTGTACGGAGCGGCACGCTACATCAGAGTCCTAGCTGACATATTGGAAAACACATCACGTTCTACGACATCGCGTTCTGACGTCAATGGGAACACACTTATGGAACGACAAGATATGCCCGGATGTGATACAAATAGCCTGAACAATTGTGTCATCAGAGAGCAGAAGAAATTCCATTACTGTCAACCTCAGTTTCAGGTAGGTGCACATAAAATATTAACACAATAAAACCTCAAAGATTAACAGCTCTATAACTAGGTTTAATTGAACTGCACCTTACTATCAGATATATATAATGTATTTTTAGTTTGCGTACGGGAAGATTTTTTAGTTATTGTTGAGTTCCTGAAACCGTCCGAGCAAAGAGAAGTCGTTATTGCTTTGTTGTTAATGATTGGTCTGCACTTTGATGACACTGTAGGACGGATATTTATGACAATTGCTTTGTTATATTAACCCGAAATCCTTATTTCTGATTAGCGGAATGCTTGATTAATTCATGTAGAATTTAACGTCCATTAAAACGGTACACGGGGATGCATTAAATTGGCGGTAGATATCGAGTCCAATAGTCATGTTTGATTTGTTATTTTTCGAATTATCGTGATAATTAAATACAATGTTTAACTTTGATTTCGGTTAATACAATGGTATGACGGTAACAGTCGGTAAATTATCATTCATTTTGACTGTACTATATTTTCTTACGATCGATAAATTATTGCATAAACTCAAAACTAGGGCTGCAACGATATATCGTCTGGTATCTTAATACTATCTTGTGTAGCGTTTCGAGGCGTTTTGATTGCCTGTATTGCAATCCACTTAGACAATCAGATTGTACACTTAGAGTAATGAAATCATCCGTTTTCCTATTGTTTTGATATCCTTCAGTAAAGCTGTGACCACAGTGCAAACGTAATAAAACAATACAAAGATACATTTTGACAGTATTCACTATTTAAGCCCATGAAAAAAACCCTCTAAAACCCTTTACTCTACCATTATGAAAATTGACATTATTTCGACAATATGAAGAGAATGCGATTTTACTTTAAGTATAACTGATCATGTTTGTTTTACAGAACAGCAGCTCGAGCCCGACATGTATGTTTATGGAGATACAGAACTGTCCATCCATAGACTACACACAATGTCTAGAGAATGTCCCTCCTCGCCAACACATCTCAGCCGGTCTGCCCGACCCCCGGGACTGTCAAGCTATCTACACATCCACTAATCTGCTGTGGCAGTAGGATGTGGAAGAAAAACCTCCCAAAATGGACAGTATTTCCCGGCTTCACGGACCAAAGCTGAGCTCTCTGATCACAATGTGCTTCTCCATGTGCGGACCATTCGAGCAAATTTTCCCTTAAAATGTGTTGTGGCGTGTCCATTTTACTGGTCTTGTTATAAGCATTATACATGTATTAGTATTATCATTGCCCGAGTTCATTTATACAAATGATATGTCTGTCTGTCTCTCTCTCTCTCCCTGTCTGCCTCTCTGTCTGTCTGTCTGTCTCTCTGTCTCTCTCTCTGTCTCTCTCTCTCTCTCTCTCTTAATTTGTTGTATTCTTATATAAATCGGTTCTTAAATAAAAGCATTTCTTGAAATCTTATCAGAGACGTATTTATGTGTATATGTAAATGTTGTTATCAGAGACGAATATACAGTCTACGCGTACATATTTTATATCGGAAACGTTAAAGGTATATATAATTTTAGATCGGAGACTTATATCATTATGATCGAGGTCATAAATCATAAGTGAGTATGTTACACGTAGGTTTCGAGGGTGTTCGTCTGGCTGCATGTATCATAAAATGTAATAGGGACGAACTGTTTCGAGATTGACAGCTAATTATACATACTCGGAATATTGTGCTCGTTTTTTGTTTTTATCTACACGTGTATATATCGGCCATTGTTAATTGACAGAAGACTAAATATTTTCAAAGCTCGCAATATAAGTTAAAAATACCTTTTTGTGAACCAAACAAACCTATCTCATAAATATGTACATCGTGGCTCACTCCCATAATTACTAGTAATGTGTTTCTCCTTTAACCCCGCACTTCACTGGTATCGTCCTTGTGTTACTGTTCTTGAAGACTTCCGTAACAGAACTAAACACTTCATAGAAATACACATCGAAATACAATGAGAAAAGAGGCCCCTAAAGGGCTGTGTCAACAATGTGTTTAGGGCCCCGTGTACAATTAAACACACATAGGCCCACACGTACTTGGATATGATTGTTGACCGATTCCTCTCAAACTGAAAACAAAAAAATATAACAGCTTTGTAAGTTCAGTGAGACGGTATCAGTGGGGGATAGAGCCTCATCCCTCTTCAGATCAACAAGATGTATCAGATCAACAAGATGTATATTAAACATTGATCTTTAGAGGCGTAGCTAGCCCTTGTTTGGAGTGGATCCATTTAGGAGCAGGTCTAGGGCAGGTCATTGGTAGGGGACAATGGGATGCAACAAACAGTGTTTTTGTTTTGTTTCCTGTTTGATAAATTATTGGATTCATTTGCGTACCAACGTATATGCAGCTATATGCACCTGACCTTCGAAAACCATTTAACATATTTTCTTTTGAAAACAATGCTAAACAAGAGGCCCGAAGAGCCTGCATCGCTCACCTGGTATTAGTCTCTCTCTTGTAAACTGACAGTGGACTAAAATCTATGACTGTAAGTCATTAAGAAGAACATGTGTAAAGGTTTAAATATATTTGACCCCTGTGACCTTGAAAGTATAACGAGGTAATTAAGTTGAATAAACTTTATAGCCCTTTATCTCAGCATGCAACTTGCCAAATATCACCATCCTAGATAATCTTTTTTATTAAGATAAAGTTTTACACACATTTCGCCATATGCGACATTGAAATTAAAGTGGGTCAAGACCATCCACATGAACAAACTTGATTGCTCATCATCTAAGCATGTTACAGGCAAAATATCATCCCCATATGCTTGGTTATTCAGAAGAAGGTGTTTAAAAGTTTTCAACACAATTTACCCCTATGATCTGGAATATGGATGAAGGTCATTCTTTAGAGCAATCTTCAAAGTGTTTATCTGAGCATGTTACCGGCCGAATAACATCAGCCTGGGCCTTCAGGTTATTGAATATTCAGTAGAAGTTGTTTAAATGTTTTAAACATATTTGACATCTGTTACCTTGAGTATATGCCAAGGTCGTACATTTGAGCAACCTTTTTAGCCAATCATCCCAGCATATGAATGCTCAGAGAAAGTTGTTTAAATGTTTTGAACATATTTGACCCCTGTGACCTTAAATATAACTCAAGGTCATTAATTTGAATAACGTTAGTAGCACTTGTTCCAAGCATGTTACCAGCCAAAAGTAGTCTAAAGCTCATGCAACATTTTATTAGCAAATATTTTAAAGGTCATACAATAATATATCTACTGACAAGTACTCTGAAGGTCATAAGTATCTCTACTGACAAAAACTCTGAAGGTCATACAGTATCTCTACTGACAAGTACTCGGAAGGTCATGCAGTTAATTTTTACTGACAAATACTCTGAAGTTCATATAGTATCTCTACTGACAAGAACTCTGAAGGCAATTCAGTGAAATTCTACTGACAAGTACTCGGAAGGTCATACAGTGAATCTCTACTGACAATTACTCTGAATGTCATACAGTATCTCTACTGACATGTACTCTAAAGTTCATATTTTTTAAAGATATACTTCTATTGTGCCCCAGGGGACAGGAACAACCTCCGTTTATACAACAAGGGGCCCAGAGAGCATGAATTGCTCAACTGAATATAAAGCATTCATAGCAAAATATTCTCATTAAATATTATACTGTACTACAAATATTTCACTTGCAAACTTTGTCAGCTCCATCTGTTGAAACTAACAGCGAAATATTAGTATGTGATTCTATGCTTTTTGGCTCTTCTTCAGAAGTTTGTTTGACATATTTTCCCCTCTCACTTTGTAAGTAGGTCAAGGTCATTTTCCTTCTCAAAATTTGTTGGCTCTATCCCAAGAAGCTACCAACCAAATCTTATGAATCCATTCCTTTCGGTTCATCAGAACAAATCGCTTGAAATGTTGGTGACCTTTAAAGTAGGTTGAGGTCATTTTCATTTGCAAACTTTGGTGAGCTCTATCCCAAGAAGCCACCAGCCAAATACTATGATTCTATACCTTTCGATTATTCAGAAGTCGTTTTATGTTTTTGACACATTTGACCCCTGTGACCCCGATAGTAGGTCAAGGTCATTTTCATTCTCAAACTTTGTCAGGCTCTTTCCCGGGAAGCCACCAGCTCAATATGAAGATTCTATACCTTTCAGTTCTTCAGATGTCACCTAAACAGTTTGACATTTTTGACCGGTGTGACATTGATAGTAGGTCAAGATCATTTTCATTCGCAAACTTTGTCGGGCTCTTTCCCCAGGAAGCAACCAACGAAATATGAAGATTCCATACCTTTCTGTTCTTTAGAAGAAGTCGTTTGAAGTGTTTGACACATTTGACACCTGTGACAATTTTCGTTCTCAAACTTTGTCGGGCTCTATCCCAAGAAGCCACCAGCCACATTTGAAGATTCTATAAACTTTTAGTTCTTCAGAAGTCGTTTGAAGTGTTTAACATATTTGACCGCTGTCAGCTTGAAAGTATGTCAAGGTCATTTTCGTTCTCAAACTTTGTCGGGCTCCTACCAACGAAGCTTTCAGTCAAATATCATGACTCTAGGCCTGTCCGTTCTTCAGAAGAAGTTGTTTAAAGAACAAGAGACCCATGGGCCTTAACGATCACCCGAGTTCCGATATATTTATACAGAGAGTTGAGTTTTGTTTTTAAAACATGAACAGAAGTATTATTCAAAGTGACAAAAAACAATAAAACCTTATTAAATATCTAGCATACAGATTTAAGACTGAAAAGTATTTGAATTTAGCACCTCTGATTCTAAACAAGGAAAATGAAGAAATTTTAGCACACCGACTCCTTTGGGTTAGATCTGGCTCAAAATGTTCAAAGTAGCAAACTGTCAACTCAGGGTTATAATTCCGATCAAGTTATCAACATGATATATTCATAGTATCATTTGCCATAATAAATTTTCCAGGATAAGTATTTATAAGAGTTTGCTTGCCGAAACTCGTCTTCCTTCAACATTCTCAAGGTATTGAATTAAGTATCATTTACAATGGTTACATAGAAGTACAATAAGGTAAACTTTAGTCAGAACCAGTGCTTGATGATACAGGACCTCATGTCCTGTAACCTTAACATATAACACAAATACAATGTGCAGTCAAATTTCTTTATTTACTTCAAATATCTAATTTACTCAAAATCAATACATCTTCATATTAATTGAATACAACAAAATTATTTCAACATTAAAAATCGATTTTTTTTAAATTTTTTTTTTTAAATTCCAAAATTCAATTGTTAAATTTAACACTTTGAAATCATAACATGAATCAAATATAAACCAATTAATGATTGAACATGATATAACTGTATACAAAAGAGCTACCTGGTTGTGTATTTATATACTAACACATTGTACAAATGGATCATCTGTCCTTCATCAAGTTATGTACCCACTCAAACCGGACAGAGTGGCCCACATCAAGACCTGCCATTGAACAGAGCGTCCCAGGTCAGGGAGTTCAGACCTTCTCAAACTGGACAAGGCAGTCTATGTCAGGGAGTTCAGACCTTCTCAAACTGGACAAGGCAGTCTATGTCAGGGAGTTCAGACCTTCTCAAACTGGACAAGGCAGTCTATGTCAGGGAGTTCAGACCTTCTCAAACTGGACAAGGCAGTCTATGTCAGGGAGTTCAGACCTTCTCAAACTGGACAAGGCAGTCTATGTCAGGGAGTTCAGACCTACTCAAACTGGACAAGGCAGTCTATGTCAGGGAGTTCAGACCTACTCAAACTGGACAAGGCAGTCTATGTCAGGGAGTTCAGACCTTCTCAAACTGGACAAGGCAGTCTATGTCAGGGAGTTTAGACCTTCTCAAACTGGACAGGGCAGTCTATGTCAGGGAGTTCAGTACCTACTCCAACTGGACAGAGAGTTCCAAGAAAGGGAGGTAAATACCTACTCAAACTGGACAGGGCAGTCTATGTCAGGGAGTTCAGTACCTACTCCAACTGGACAGAGAGTTCCAAGAAAGGGAGGTAAATACTTACTCAAACTGGACAGAGTAGTCCAGGTCATCAAGATCACGACCTATTCTAACCAGACAAGGTAATCCAGGTAGGACTTACTCCGACCAAACAGGGCGGTCCTGGTCAGGGAGCTCACGACAAAATATGTAAAATAACGATGTACAGGTTTAAGAGTAGTTCTTGGTTTAATATCTCGCCTAAAAACAATTAATGACTATTTCTTTAAATATTATGTTAAGTCCCTTTTGCCAATAAGAAAAGCATTCATAACTAAGTTTGTCTAGTTTCATTAGAACTGTAAAAAGGAGTTGTCTTTGAATTACTACTGAGAGGCTGTATTTAAATGAACAATTTCATAAAAGCAGTAAAGATCCTTTTTTCATTTTCTGCTGTTCACAACATGGACCAAACCTGATACTGTCATGGGACTGTTAATGTAATTTTCAAAAATTTACATCTTTAACATTGCACATCAAAAGTGCATCTGTACAAAATTTATCTATGTTTCAATATAAAAATATTACAATTTAGTCTACAGAAAATGCTTTACTTAAAGTGTTCAGTTCAATAGATTTAAATGCAAATCAACAATCTGATTATAAAACTGAAGTTTGAATGGTTTCAAAAATGTTTCTATAATTAACTGAAAGATGAATCCATCCAAAAATATTTCTTGGACAGAAACATCAGAAAAAGAATACCAGCCCATATATTCCAGTTTTATATACACATTAATAAAATGAGCCTTCTTCGTAACATATATAAGCACACATTAAAATTTAACATAACTAATACTGCTGGTTTCTTGACATTTACTGTACTTGGTAGAGGGTTACAGTCGTCTGTCAATACAGTGCAGGGAAACAACATTTTTAAAGCAAGGGTCCATTGATATTGACATGCTTCAATATTGCAGCTGGATGAATTTAGCAAACAAGTGCAATGTGATGCACAAGCTGGTCTAGACATACCACATGCAATATTAAAGTTTATATTCTGAATGCTGCAGGGAGTATCATTTAAATTTTAGTATTTAAGTGTCTCTTCAAGTCTTTCTGTACAATAGCACCAACATAAACTTTGGACCGATTATCAACTTCTTTAAGTGTCCAACGGGTAGAGATCCACAGTACTTATCTTTTAAAAAACAAGAATTCCAAATTAAAAAAACAAAAGCCTTGAAATATGACTGTCATTAAATTGTTAACATAAATCCAACTCAACTGCCTTAATGGACAAGAGAGAAAATCATAGAAATGAACAATACCCAAAACAATCGTTCTCTCTCGCATACTCTAATGTATAATTCATCTTAAAATAACCGAAATCATAATAAATGAGAAGAAGACAACCAAAGACCACTTATCTATAAATGGTCACTTGTTGCTATCCTATTGATATTACTGTATGATAATTGATATATTGTTTCTTCAAAAGTCCTCAAAGAAAGGTTGTCCTCATTCAATAAGCAAAATAAGTCAGATTTGGTCCCTCTTCCTCTAGTTAGTACCTCTGATTATAAAATACAAGTATATATAGCTATCTACCAAGACACGATCAAAACCAGATGTGGACAGAAGAGAGATATATTATTTTGCTTACCAAGTGATTGGTATCGTGCAAGATAATGGACATACACACGAGACGATGGATTTTATTTATTGTGGTTTATACAGAATCACACCAAAAGATGGCACCTGGCAGTAAATGGAAATACGCATCCACACACACCTTCTCGCTGGGAGATTCTGAAGACTCGAGTAGAAACAGATATTCTTAGGCACCTACTGATTCAGGGACTCTCAAAACTTTGAATTAAGTGAAAATGACTCATTCTGTGTTTCTGAAGACTTCAGTAAGTGGAAATAAACATTGTCACACACCAACTCACTCAGGAATTCTCAATACCTTAGTAAGTGGAAAGTGACATCTGCACATACGTAATCGAATTCTCAACACTACTGTACAGGAAGTGGAAATATATATTCTCACATCCCTACTTACTTGGGGATTCTTGAGACTGCAATATTTTTCAAAAGAAACCATCACTGGTCTTATGTTACTACAGGTACTACTAATATCTAAATCTTGAAAGGAATGGAGTTAAACAGTCACTGGTGATAATTGTATGTAAAACTCTTTTTCATTTTATTCCATTTTTTAACCTGTTACAGTTGACAGATCATGAAAATGATATGATATTGATATGACAATAGAATATTATATGTATTTTTAATCTGTGACCACATCATTTCATTTCTTTCTATCTCTTAAAATTGCTGAAACTGCTGTGAAAACTGACTGCAAAAGTTAATTGTTACTTAAGTAAAAATAAACAAAAATATAAAATATTTGCAGATGGTCTAATTCTAATGTATCTGACTTTACCAATAAAATGAGTTTACCTCCAAATGAGTAGTTTCAAATTTAAAGCCATACATGGCAGCATGCCTAATTTTAGGACATTACGAGTTAAAAATAATCCTTACAATTTTCAGATTAACTAGAAATAATAATCTACTTGTCTGGAAGCAGACCAACATTTTCTGTAAATCTGAGGATTAACTAGAAATAGTAATCTACTTGTCTGGAAGCAGACCAATATTTTCTGTAACTCTTAGGAACAAGAAGTTGTTTGATATGTCACCACAATTCAATGACTAGAAACAAATGTTGGATTTAACTATATCTTGAAATAACTGTATTAGAGTTTTAAATGCATTTGAAAGTTTTAAAATCATTTCGTTTTTAATACAACTACCTTACAATAACGATTAATTATCAAAAAAAACCAACTGAGAATTCAAAACACCACTATATGGTTTAATAAAAATTCATTCTGCAAGTAATTTTAACAACATTAAAAGTATTTTACAAAAAGAATGTATTGGTCTTAAATTTCTTGCAGAACATGAATAAGTTTAAGTTTAGACAATGGTTTCTATTGATATATAAACTTTGCTCAATGTCTATATGCTATAAAACTTTGTGATGCTGCAAGGAGTAGGGTGAAGGTCTGTACGGCACTGGAAGATGTTTCTGATGATGAAGATGGATGACGAACTGTGAGAAGACTTTACTAGTGACGTTGATTATGCTGTCATGCTCCAATGAATCACATCCAGACCAGTCAAGCTGTATCCCCTCCTCTATTAATTTCAATGGTCCATGGGTGTGAAGAGATGAGTAAAGAACATCTAAAAACATCAATTAAAAGTATTAGTAATCCAATCTTCTGAAAATCTTTATGGTTTATAGCTTTTAACCTTCTATACCCTACGCAGAGTGCAGCATAAACAAGGTATGATTAAGATAAACCTAGGTTTGAGATTTTGAAAAGAAAGGGTGACTTTGGTCACAATGTAAGAATTTATAGCTGAACAAATTATGCAGATACAACTTTCAGCAAATATAGCTGAAATATTGACTGATTATAATCTGAATTTTCGCAGAATGATATTATTTTCAATTAAAATACTGTAAATTAGAAATTTCACTTTGACATCAAAAGTCAAACTTGCCTATACATTTAACACTGCACATTCACATGACTATCTTGAGATGGCAGCATCAGGTAAAACCCTTACATAAATCTTCTTTCCAATCTTTTCTTCCTTATTCTGCATAGACATAATGATAAAGAACACAGAGCTCTATAATTGATAACGTTAATTATTAATTAGGATACAGCGCACGATAGATACCTGTTATGATGATTATGAAAATGCAAAGACTGCCTTCAAGGAGATGTGATCTGATGGGAAGAGTTGATCAGGGATACCGCCTGTGGCCTTAATGTGTTCCTCATTGGCCGTCTGTAGTACCCCAACGTTGTGAAGATTGCTGCCGCAATAGAAGATGTAGTCAACTGCTGCCAGCATCACTCGGTTGAAAGAGGTCACCACTGGTTCACATCCCTGTAGAGCAGCAAAACAATTGTCATATTTAACAACAAAATGGCTAATATAAAATAGTACATGTAACAGAAAAAATATTTTCTTGTTCAATAGTTTAAAATCCCTGACAGAAATGTAACATACAACTGTTTCTTATAATTGCTCATAAATCTTTGCTGAGCAAATATCCATTCTTCAGTTAAGTGAAAATGCAATTTTCTGTTGTTAAATCAATGCATCATGGAACTAAATTATTGACACCAGGGTACTTGGGACTGTAATCTAGTGGTGTGAACAAGATGTCCATATCTGCCAAAATATCAATGAAATTGCCCTAATAGAAGTACAGCACTGACCTGTGCTGACTGGTAAGCACTTTTCATGTCCGATGTGTGTTGGAATGCTCTCCAAAGGTGGTTTACAAGTGCTGCCTTCTGTAACATATAAACACATACAACTGTTAACATACCAATCTTAACTTCACTACTTCGTAATGCATGGTGTACCAAATTTTACAGCAGCTTGTTTACTGGGTAGATGGAGTGGCACTGTGGATAGAACACTCGGCCATCACAAAGACAGCCAGGGTTGGATTCTCTGATTGGATGTGAAATGATATGGGTCGCCTGCCCCACCATGTGGATTTTCTTGGGGGTCCCTGCAAGCTTCCATTCAGGCTAACAAGGGTGATTAATATTGATAAATCAATAAAACTTCTTTCATACTTTGTGCAAAATAAATGGATTTTATTTTCATTTTTGTGCTTAAAGTTACTTTTCTGGTCAACAGTCCTTAGCAAATTCATTGTAATTCCATATTATTTTTCATAATAGCAATCTAAGACTTAAAACCTGTTGACACTATTTGGAGGTGGCTTACTGACTTCTTTGTTAGTACTTGAACAAGAAGTCTGCACTTTTACAGAGTCAGTCTGATATAGAGGCAATTCAGAAAGCAGCATTGACTGTGAAACGAACACAATGATTGTAAGGTCATAACCAAATTGTCTGGCACACTACTAGCAATATGTGCGACCTTTTGAGTAGCATGGTAACAGGTTGTGTACCCATTTTAAAGAAAAAAGAATATTTCTTGTTTTTGATGGATACTAGTACTTTTTTCAGCTCATGAGATAAAAAATGTTCGTGCATATCAAGTATTTATTCCACCCAGTTAAACAAACCATTGAAAATATCATCAAGAAAAAAGATAACGCCCTTTTGCACATTACTATTTTATGATATGCTAAACATTAAACAACAACCATGTTATTCCTACCATACAGACCCATATCAATATTATACAAAAGATACGAGGTATAACCTTGCTAGATCCTCTGTAATCCTCTTCTTACGGTTTACAAGAAAATTCCTCCATTCTTCCAATCTAATATTACACTTACACTAGAGTCTGTCATCTCTAGATTCTCTAGAGCCTGTAGTTGTTTGAGGACTTCATCAGTAAGATAACCTCCCATCGCCAGCTTGTACCCAGGACTGGTCGCTTCTGAGTTGAAATCTCCACACAGAATCTGAGCGTGACAATCGCTTCCTCCCTGCTTTGCTAATTCCTTTATGGCACATACAATCTAAAAAATAAATTCAACACATTGGTCAAATCGGTTACCATTAAGTTACAATGTTACTTCATTTGTAGCATATTTTAAAGCCTATATATACAAGCCATTTTGGTTATTCAGGAGACGTTAACTTTTTAACATATTTAACCTCTGGACCTTGAATATGGGTGAAGGTTATTCATTTGAACAAACACCCCAGTATGCTTCTGGTCAAATATCATCACCTTGGGTCTATTGGTTATTGAGAAAAAGTTGTTGAAAGAAAAACTTGATGCCAGACAGATAGACGACGTACAATGGCAGAAGCTCACTTGGCCCTTCAGCCTAGGTGAGCTAATTTATAACATTGTTGGCGTTAATATGAGTGATTTTAAGCCTGAGAGAGATAATATTTCCAAAGCTTCACTTTAAGAAAGTTGAAAAATCTATACTAACTTCAAAAAGCCAATAATCAACTATGTTATTATGTGTGCCAGCTGTTTTCTGCATCAGTGACAGATAATCCACCTTGGTTTAAATCATAATGTGCCATTCAAAATTGCCGGTTACTCTTCGTAAAATACCTGATTGTAACTTTTACCTTTCATACAGGTGTTTGGAATCATGGGTTCCTATTGAGTTTTTTCAATAACTCAAGCAGAGTTTTGGCCTATCATACAACATTTTTTAACGTTGAAAGTTCTAGAATACATTTGTGTTGACACACAATATTTCTGGCCAAGACTTACCTGTATACACTGAGCATCAGGGATCTCCATCTTGCCCCACTGGACATGAATGTTACCCATACACAATACATTGCCCGTGACATTACAACGCAGCTTGGTCAGCACCAGAACGTCCGGTAGGTTCAGGTATTTTCTGATAGACACTTTCACTTCCTCACTCACACCGCCATCCTCCAATTCCTTTGGAGAGATAATATTCCTTAGTTATGTACATACCATCATGTTTTAATTACACATTTCATTTACTAAGTACTACTCTCTGACAGTTAACCCATCATAATAAACTCACTGAGTTATTTCCCCTTGCACTAAATCCAAAAATGTTTGCGTTCTTCACGAGATTCTCCTTTTTTCTCCCAGATAGTCTGACCAACTTAACCAATACACTATGTTGATGGTCACAAAACGATCACTACAAGAGCAGGGTATCAACTCTTTTAAAAGTTATGCACAAGTACAGGGCCCCGTATATATTCATGAAATTGTTCTCAGGATCAAGCATGGATTTTGTAAGATCAAACCTAATTTCTTTTAAAAAATTATTGCAAAAAATCTTATTTTGTCAATGATTTGGAAAGGTTTGAAAAGACTTTAAGCTGAATACTGTTTACAATGTTTACATTTTACTTTTTGCTCGTTTGATGCAATTTAAAGCGAGTTACAGGAAAATTGGTTTGAGCACAAAATCCATGCTTGAGCATGAGAAAGATTTCATGGTTACGGGACCCTGCACTCTGTAAGGAATGGAATTCATACCAAGTAGGCAAGGTTACTTTTTGTTTTGCGCTATGGTTACCTGTTCAGCCAAGTCCTTAAGGGAGTAGGTACAAGTCTCCACTGCAGAAAATCTGTCTGTCTTGTAGAACGTGGCTTCTCCCTCATTAAAATACTCCTGTGTCCTCTTCTTCATTAGACCCTCGTACCCCAACCTGTCCACAGAATCAACAACGTTAAATCTGAGTCAAATTTACAAAGCAAAGTTCACAATATTTTTAGATACCACCTTTTAAATGCCTACTAAAAAGAATGTTGTCATCTATGTGGAAATCTACTGCAGTGTTGAATTTGGAAAGTTACAAAAAACAACAAGATTGCCAATCCCATAGAGTTATTGAGACACACTCGCAAAAACTAGTTTTTGTTAAATTCACAGTACGGTATCTCATTCTTGTTCCAATTCTCAGTATCCTACTATCTTCATACAAATTATAATTCTATAAATTCACACGTCACTATCTCATTCTTGTTCAAATCCTCAGTATGCTACTATCTTTACACAAATTCTTATTATATAAATTCACACTATCTCATTACTGTTCAAATTCTCAATATGCTACTATCTTTATACAAATTCTAATTCTATAAACAAACTCAAAATTCTCTATCTTTACTACCTTTATACAAAAACAACCCTGAACACAAACAATTCTCAATCTGCTACTACCTTTATGCAAATATAACCATGTACACAATTATTAGTAAATTCATAATTCTCTATATATCTGCTGTACTAAACTGTACACGAACTCTTAAGTTTCAATCTATTATTATATATACATGTATATATTAAAATCTCAATTTTCTATCTACTTTAATACAAAGTTTTATTGAATCTTTATGTACTTTTGTTTAAGCTTAAATAATAATAATAATAGCAATATGTTATAATATATATATACATACAATATCAGAAAAAAAAATCAAAGTCCTTGTGATAGTTAAATTATAAAATACAAATACAAAGAGTTTCTTGGTACCCCCCTAGTGCTTTCACCACTTTAGAGGTTCATCAGGGGAACTATGTATGTTGACAGGACATGTTTATTTGTGTTGTCCTGTCAACATACATAGTTCCCCTGATGAACCTCTAAAGAGGTGAACACGCTAGGGAGGTACCAAGAAACTCTTTGTATTTGTTTTTTTATATATATACAATATATATTTATAAATATATTGTACTGTATATGAATTATATATATATAAATAAAAAAAAAACATTTATATATTTTCAAACAATTTTAAAGTTTAAAATGCCCTTCAGACATCACAAGATGTTTATGGCTTTGCATGTCCCAAAAGTTTTGAATGGTTTAAAATATCAAAATTGTATTGTTATTCAAATAGCTGCAAATCAAATATAGGAATTTTCAAGGTTCAAGAGTGAAACAGTAGACTTACCTGCTCATAGCTGGTTTGAGCAAAGACTCATAGTACAAAGGTCCCACCTCCTGCATACACACTAAATCTGCATTAAGGTACTTTATTTCCTTCATGAGGTTTTGATGACGATAACTTTCTTCTAAATACTGAGACTCTGTAAATGAATAGTCATTTCTTTCTAGGTGACACTGGGCTAAAATGTTGTAACTAACCACTGAGAATTGTTTGTTTGAGTCCCCTGTTAAATGATAAGATGGATTGGGGATATATTTCCTGGACAGCACTGGGTTGAATTCTGATGAAGGGGAGGTCACTGCTGCTGTTGTTTGTTCCTGATTAACATCTGATACCACTTCTGATGGAGGAGCTATTGACTGACTTTGTTCTGCTGCTAAAGCTGGAGCCACAGCCTCCTCTTTTGGCAAATCTGTAGGTAAACATTGCAAGACTTCTGTGCTATTAGCTGCTGGTATTTCATCCATATTTACTACAACATACTCCTTCTCAATGTTCTGACTGGCTGTATCTGAAGAAGTTGGTTCCACTTCTGGGTCCTGGGCTTTCTGATCTAAAGTAGCTTCCGTTGATTCCTCTTCTGCCATCTGTTTTGACATTTGATTTTCACCATTAGTGGTTACAACTCCTTCACTTGTAACATCAGCCATATCAATAGACCGTCGGGCCTTCTTTGGAGCTAGGTCCTCACCTTCATCATCAAAATCATCCCACTTGCGTTTGCGACTTGGAGAAGAAAGAGGATCACCAGGGGATCCATTTTGCTGCTCTCCATCAGCTATTGCGGGTTTTGGCACTTCCTGGACCATTTCTACCTGTGCTGCAACTGGTTCTGTAACTGCTGGTGCAACTGCTGTGTCTTCTGATGCTTCATTTTCCTGTACCTCAACGACATCCTCATCCATTGGTTCTTCCTTTTCCACATCGTCATCAGATATTGCTTCTATTTCAGGAGGTTTACATTCTTCCGCTGCTGGAGCTGATGACTCTTTCACTGGTGAAGGTTTTAATGGTAGTGTGGGTTCTAATGTTGTTGACTCCTGATCAGGCTCACATGACTTTGGCTTGTCTTTTGATTCCTCCTCTTCCATTTCTTCCTCCATCTTTTCTTCTTGCCCCTGTCTTTCATCAGTTTCCACTACATCTGCAACCTTAGTTTCTCCCATCTTCACTTCTTCATTTTCTTCCTCCTTCCCATCTTTACCTTCTTCCTCTTTCATTACTTCATCCTTTTTTTCTGCAGCTTCCTCATTTTCTTCCTCCTCAACATCATTTTCTTTCTCTTTCACATCATCACTTTCTTTCTCCTCTACCACATCCTCCATTTCTGCTGCTGTATCTTTTGCATCCATATCCTCATCTCTATTTTCCTCCTCAGACTCAGTTGATTTTTTTACAGCTTCTGCTTTTTCTATCTGCTCTGTCTGAAGCACTCTTTCTTTATCCTTTGTCTCCTCTTCTTTTTCCTCACTCTCCATTTCCTTGACTTTCTCTTCAGCTTCCTCTTCAGCTTCCACAGACCTTCTACTTCGCCGAGTTGGAGGAGTAGATTTTTCAGATGATTTAGATCTTCTAGATTCCTTTGGGCTGGCCTTGGGAGGAGAAGTTTTAGCTGATGACTGACCCCTACTTCTGGAAGGCAATATTGTTTCTTCTTCATTTTCAGCAAAGCTTGTATTGTTAGATTTGCTAGGACTATCAATCTTAGTGAGGATAAGTTGTGCTGATGGCAGATCATTTGCCTTATCATCTTTCTTGCCCCTACTTCTGCTCCTGGAGGCAGCAGGCTTTGGTGATGGTTCAGGTTTCACTGGGGTCTTCCTGGGACTAGGTGTTGCCTTTTTAGCTGGTGTTTTCCTTGTCTGGCTCTTGGCCTTAGCTGTTTTGGGTTCTGGTGTTTTAGGTTCCGGTTTTGTCGGTTTAGACCTACTGCGGGACCTTGATGTTTCTGCCTTTGGTTCCTCAGCCTTGGTTGGCGTGGGAACAGCTTTCTGACGAGAGCTGGAGCGACCTTTCGGGGTTGGTGAGGGTGCAGTTTTTTTTGGTTCTGCAGCTTTGCGACTACTTGCCCTCCCACGAGATGGCGCTTCCTCCTGCTGAACCACAGCTCGAGTTACTCGCCCCTTCTTTGGACTTGGCTCCTCTACATCATCACCTGATAAATAACAAAATGTTAATCAACTGATAGACAGAGAATCGATGGAAAAACCGAAATTGTCAATAATATCTAGATAAACCAAAATTGTTGAAATTTCCATTTCTAACTTTGTGGTTTCAATTTGATTACTTTGAGATGATTCGTAATACATGTAAAACTAGTGAATATATCACCTTTTTTTTTTATTTGACCAATCAACACACAGTTTACAAACTACAATGGGATAAACTACCTCCTTCCGGGGTAAGCTTTTGAAAAAAAATATGTACAGGTTAATGAACAGAATATCTAACAGTGTCTTCAGTAATACGATATATACTTCACTCGTGTGGCTAATATTTGATATCTTTCACTTGTGCTGCGCACTCGTGAAAGATATCAAAATATTAGCCACACGAGTGAAATCAATTTGGTATTACTGAAGACACCGTTAGATATCCTCTATATCTCACCTTGTCCCTTCTCTTGTTTGGTCTCTGCTTCTTTTGTGCTTCTTCCTCTGCTTCTACCTCTGTAATCAAAGCAATGATAAAACAAATTAAATCAAAAGGCAAGATTCTTGTGGAAGGGTTTTATTTATTTGCATTTTAAAGGACTAAAAGCTTCAGTATACAATGTAAATACCATTCCTAACACCTGACATTAATTTGTATTGAGAGATATAGATTACCAAAAGCAATCAATATATCATCAACAAAAGCAGAATTAGTAAACACGCCAGGTAACTCATGACAGTCCTGCTTCACCTTGCACATGCACATAAATCATTAACAACAGTCTGTGCATATCATAATGCAGACTTTGACTGTTGCATCATGCAGGATTAAGCTTGGCGGTGATCATAAGCTTGGCCAGATGTACACTGATTCGTTGGCCAGATGTACACTGATTGGTAGGTACATTGAACCACAATGTTGAAAGAAAATATTGAAATAAGTGACGTTTTAAACCTTATGATAACGAAGGCATGTGCATCATCATTAAATTCAAATTATTCTACACATCTAAAACAATAAATCCCCTGTAAAACTTCCTTCATGTTAAGCTTGTATTTACCACATAAAGAAAACAACATGTCTAACATCGGTTATTTGAGACCACAATCCACAATCAGAGTTTTTCTTAACTATATACGTCATGTATATGTTACAGATCTAGATTAGACTTCATAGCAAACCCCCAATTGATGCAGATGAAAGGCTACTACTATTTATAGAAATGACTGTAACAAACCCTGAGATAACTCTACAAAACATGTACCTTGGTGCAGGTGAAGGGCTGGGGCTACTTTTCCTAGTCTTTTTTGGTGAGGGTGTCTCTACAGTTGGGGGGGCGGCAGCTCCACGAGTCCTGCGAGTAGCGGGGACCTCCTCCGTCACGACAGGCGCAGAGCTCTTGGTTGTGTTTCTCTTACTCCTCGGCATTTTGTTGTTTTTATCTTTACTACCTGTAACAGTGTAAAACCATTGAAGAATTAAACTGAACAAATTCACACAACTAGATCATTATGTTAAAAATAAAGAAGTTGAAATGCCTTTATTTTAAGCTACTCATCACAGCCCTAGCTTCCTGTGATTTGGATGGCTAAACCAAACTACATCTATTATCTACGGCCATTTTCCATGCCAGTTTTCAACTACATGTACAATATGTATATCAATATGGTTCTTATAAACTCATTTTATAAGTTTCCGCTAGTTATGTCTATATTTATAGGATAATTTCAATCCTGAATACTATGGCCCATGGCTTCTGCCCTTCCTGATCTCTGGCCTCTAATTACTGTACAGTGTACATATATATGGAGGCAATGTGCATGCAGCTACAGTGATCAATCATGATCAATCAGTTTTATTTCAAAAGCATTTTAATTTGTACATGTTAGCTATAGGAATGCATGTAATCAAGTGCAATGTAAAACGTGTGTTAGTACAGATAATCAAACCTATACTAGTTTATGTACAGTACATAGCTGACCATAGAACAATTAGTTCAGATGTCCATATCAATTTGATCACCTAAGAAATAAGTTGCAACTTCAAGCGTCAAGTTCTTAAACATGTCATAAATATTAACGTTTCTGGTAATTTTATTCAATCATAGCATATTTATACCTAAATAATTATTTAATAAGCAAATTAAATATACCAGTAAGATATATTTGTACGATGAGCACTACTTTATTTTTTCTATTTTTCTTTTTTTACATTAATTTTACTGTAACTTCTACAGGTATGTAGTGATCTAACTGTGTACCAACCCAAACTTGTTGAGGTTTGAAGTTTACATTTAAAGGCGACCTGCAGTGTTCATGTAATTGAGTACATACGATATATATGCTTAATGTAGAAAAAACAAACTTCCAAACTCTTATAGCTGATTTAAACACAGTTGCAATATCACCAATCTGCTTATTAACAGCTGGTATATCAGTTACAAATATATATATTATAGTAATTCATTAAGATTTTTTTTTTAAATGAATTTTAAACTTTTTTTTAAGTTTCTCCCATGGCCAGCTGTGAAATAAATTTATATATTAAATGCTAATCATCACATATTCCAACACCTGACAGCAGTACAATCCATAGAACAGAATCCTCCATCACAATTAGTTTTATTCTAAGAAAAACTATGATTGTTTCTGTAAACATATATTGCTGGTATATATACATTTGTATATGACACTCACGTGTTAGTACAGAACCCATCCTTCGAAGCCTCCTTGAATCACGTTTCCATAACATACTAAGGTTATTGACAGCCAAATCCAATGTTTAAAAATCTACTTTCAAAGACACAACAACAGACACCCCTAGAGGTCTGTGTCACTGACAGACCTTGGTGTGTCCTTATAATTATAAGGCCCTAGCTGCTACTGTACATAAAAAATCTCTACCTATCTCGCAATGTTTTAAAATTGTTGTACTAAATAACAAGGACACTATGCCTTCCAACTCCCATAATCCTCTTCCAATCAATGACATTTACTGGAAAATATTAGGCTGTTGTACCATTCGACCCTGATCCAATCTTAATGCTTCTTGAGTGATGGATATACAGGAATAAGTTTCAAACCAACTGCCTGCCAGCCACTAGTGTATGACCTATATTCATGTTCATGCAGGAAACTCTAGCCTTGTAAATCTTGGAAAAATTACATAAAAATTCACCACTTTATAAGAGTAGGAAAAACTGTTACTTGTCCTGTAGCGCTTCCCAGGGTGAGAAAATCTATCCCAGACAGGTGTGAACAGCTAAAACCCTCTATACAAGCTGCCTGTAAAGTTAGGATGCACCATGACTCAACCAGCAGGTAAAACAGGTCGAGCAGAACATTGGGAAAACTGCATGTCAGATTTTTTTGGAATACAGAGTGATCAGCATGTGAAAATGCATCTTTTGACAAAAAAATGTGCACAGCTACTAACATACTTAATTCATATAACACCTGCTAGACTGTTTTGCTTTAAAATGCATGATAAGTATTTATGAATGAACAATCCAGAACTTTGATCATTTTCGATCAAATAACTATCAATTGTACTCCTCCAGGGTACATTGTAGCTGTATATGGTAGTTATATCTGTAATCAATACATTTTAGCTGGTGCTGCTGTACGCATTTCTAGGGGGCCTTTTGATTTGATTCAGTACACATACATTAGATAATGAATGCATGTCATTTGCAAATCAATACATAACAAAATCTCTGCTTATTGTAACTAGTACATGCATATAATTGTATGAAAACATATTCTTAGAGACATGACTAGTACAACAAATACACGATATATTTAAACAAGTGATTTGTTCATATATTTACATGTTTTTCTGGAATTTTGGGAAATAGGAATTATCTAACACATAAGGTTTCAAGGGAAAACCCTATCTCCCTTATTTTCTCTCTTTCTTTTTTTTGTGGAGGGGGCCCCGGGGGGATGTTTATACCAATTTCATTAAGTGTGACTTTTATTTAGCATCTACTTTCTAAGGCTTCGTTTTGACTGATTGAGAATAAAAATGCAGGTTTGCATAACGAATGGTATCATAAATAAAATGAATGCCTTTAACCGAGGCATGTTCAACCCTGGGTATGTGCCACATCTGCAACAAAACACCAGAGGTGGTATGCAGATTATTGGAAGAAGAAGACATTTATCTTGAACAATCCCATTTACACAGGCAGAAAAAAATCCCACAGATTTACTGTGTGAAGAGTAGAATATTAAAAGTTATTCCAACATTTTCATAAAATACATATATGTTTTTTATCTTAAATATGAAATCAAATAGGGCTGGAAGGTATTTTCTATTACATAGATAAAATAGAGTAAATATAATTTTCTTTAATACAAAACGGGGAGGTTACACATTTTTTTAAAGTTCAACCAGTACTGTTGTAACATATACTATAAATACATGTAGTGATTTAATTCAGAGCTTCATCTGTTTCATTCCAAACATAAAGCTGGAGTCAACCTACATAATTATTTTTTTCAGACTCTTGCAAATGTCTGTCAGATAATGGATGTTATTTTATCCTACAGCTATTTTGATAGACATGCGACAACGTTGGCAGGTAATTGCATGTCACTGCAAACCTAGCTAAACAGGTGAGCTAATGTGTTGAACCTGAAACCATATCCAGACCAGAGATCTGCTGATCAATTTAATTGAAGGAAATGCATGAGTTGATGGCAGCTAAGTGCATCACCCTTAGTTTAAAATGAGTACATTCCAATCAAAATATCTTATATTAATGTGGTGACGTCAGATGTCAGTTTTTTTAAGTGATGTTTATGTACATTGCATCTGGTAAAGTGGCCACACTAACTGCACTCAATAAACTAACCGTAACCATGACAATACTTTACAATGGTATCCCACAATTAAGTTCTGGTTTCTAGAACTTATATTTAGTTTAAGAGAAAAATAATTGAAAATGGATTATGATGCATAATATTACTGAAAATTGTCAAAATTGAAACATATGCATGTACACTGATTCTAGCAACATTCTTTATAGTATTGTTATTGATAGTAACATAATAAAGACTGTATGATTGAATGAATATACTTGTATGATTTATATTAATTTTTACATTGTGATGATTTAACTTTTATTCTGAAATAATGTTAAGATATTTATTCCAAGTGTTTTATATACATGTGTGTAAAAAGCTTCCTGTATTCTTATAGAAATAAAAGGCTGAATATGATTAACTTAAACAGACCTGAATGATGCGTGGATTCACTTAGCTAACAGGCACGCGCAGTGATCACGAGATGAAGCAACATACATTTTTTATAGAAGACCCAATATTTCAATGATACCCTCATATTCAAATATATGTATCATATTTCTAGTATTGACTGGGGCCTAACTTTTACACAAGGTACTGATATATTTATAATATCATCGTGTTTTCACATAAAAGCTCTCCCAGTAATCCTTATACAGAAATAAACTTTGCATCATACAATGAAAATAGTTTGTGTTCTGTTCACCTGTACATGTGAACATTAAATGTGCTCTCCCTGTAGTCGGTATACATGCATAGGTATACTACAGTTTCTCTGTGCATGTTGTAGTGTTCAATCAATCAATGTTCTGCAATACTACTGTAATTAATCAGAAGTAATTAGATAAAAAGGCAGCTGGCTGACATGCAATACACCTGGTCACAGCTACAATGTACCAAACATGTTGAGAACATTTGTCTGTTTGATTATAACATTATGCAATCATATATTTTCAAAATAATTATTAAAATTTAAACACCTTTTCAGCAACTGATAAAATCTATATTATGTTTTAACCAATGATTCCACTGTTATTGACATGATGTATATATACAGGACTAGACAACAGGGGTAGTCTCAGACTAGTGAATCGCCAGATTGACTCGAGTGGTTCTATATACCCCTAGCCCGATTGACTTGTCAACATCTGATATTACTTATCATGTTGAACAAGATTGGGTTTAGTGGAATTGCACATGGACTAGTAAATTTGGAAACTACTTTCCCGACTTATGGTTTTTAAAACTAATTTATAGCCCTGCATAATATTTTTAATATGTCTGTTGTGGAACAATTCCATGCCAGGTATATATGCCATTTTTCAGTATAAAGTTACTATTGAAGGTTGTTTTTATTTCTGTAATGTAATTGTGATAATTCCTGTTTTCCAGTAATACTGTGAATGCAATGTCATACCTCTGATGTATGTATGTATGAGTTATTTCCCTTATCTAAAAGTATTGAATTTGATAAATGTTGTAAGCAATGGAAGGCTGAAGGCTCTGGCTTTAGGGCTACAAGGGGCATCCCCTAGAAACTTTTACCAGATATTGTCTGAAAAGCATTTTAGGATACTTCTGTTTTTTGTGGGGTTTTTTGCATTTGAAAACAATAGAAACATATGGAAATACAAATTTTATATGATTTTTATATGCAACATTTTATCATTGGCTGCTTACTCCAGATATCAATTATTCTTTGAGTAAAGTAGTGTTTTCTAATATTTAAATGACAATGTTGTTTGAGTATTTTTAACGATGTCCAGGAGTTTTTCCTTGAGCAGCGATCGTGAGATTGAACAATCCCTCCATCAAATTCGGATATAGTCCATTCATAAACTTGAACACGTTGATCATATCTCTGCGCAAGCGCCTGTATGTTAGAGTTAGAAGCTTCGGCACAATCTCTCGCTGTAGCTAATGGTCTTAAATCCGGGGAGTAATTTTTTAGATCTTCTTTGAATGTTCTCTATCCTTTTGATGTCCTTAATTTTGTGTGGACTCCAAACACATGCAGCATACTCTAAATGAGGTTGAACTAGCACTTTAAAAAAGATTAGTGAACATATTAAATTATTTTTGTTCAAATATACAAATGATCTCCTTGTGACACCACGATTTTGTTAGCTTTATCTATTGACTGTTGGATATGCGTTGTAAAGCTCAAGTCCTGGTCTAGATCTACCATAACCACTAAATCTTTCTCCAATGCAATGTTTACCAATGCTATAACTATACTATAGGAAGTTTTGTCTGCCGCCCTCTTATATTTTGCTTAAAAAAAACAAATTAAACAAATTGAAAAATAAATCGATGAAAAATTTATCGGGAAATATAGTGAAATTGTACTGCACGACAACATCAAAATTTAATCTATAGATATCAATATCATTTAACATTTCAAGTCCTTAAACTGACGTAATTTAATATAAGCTGTTGATAGGATGTTAAACCTTATCAAATCAAACTTCTGAACACAGAAAATGTTGTTCAAATGAATATTTTTTAACTAATAAATTACTGAAATTTTGTCAATAAATGTCAGAATGGTGAATAATATGATGAGGCATTAGCTAAAATTTCCAAGTGAACAGTCAACGAAATTCAGGTTTTTTTTAACAAACTGCTCTGATTAACGGTTACTAATTAGACCACAGAAGCCTGAAGTTCTTTCAATAATGAATAATAACAGTAATACAAAAAATAATACATATAATATGCTTAAAAAATGTTAAGCATAATATAGGTATTTTTTGTATTATTGTTATTATTCATTATTGACAGAACTTCAGGCTCCTGTGATTAGACTACTGTGGAGCTACTGTCTGAATGCATTACGCTTCCCTTTGAATTTCTTCATACATTTTGATTTTCTATGTTAAGACATTGTCATATTTGTGTCAATGTACAACTTTAGCTATGCATGTGTATATGCAATAGACTAGTATGAAATATAATGTGAATTGTTACGTTTTCTTGTATCCTATATAGATCGACTGTAGACTGGACACAAAGTTTAGTTGCAACACAAGCCTAGATTCTGTCACATCTTTACAGAAATAAATCACGGAGTAGTGTCTTAAATTAAGAAGTGTGTTCAAATTGTCAAAGATATTGTTTGCAACATATTGTACGGGGATAAAAAAAAGGATGATAGGAAAACAAACCAGCCCACAGACATGCTGCAATAAACAATGCACCGGTAAATTACCAACACAATCGGAATGTTTTAGCAATTTTACATGGTAATGACAGGAAGCATCATGCAACATAATTGATTAAAAATGCTGCGTTTTCAAATCATTAAAGCCCATGATACTTCAAAGAGTGAAATTATTGTCAAGAATACAAATTTGACGCAAAATTGCTCGATCCATACGCGCTTACCGTGATAACAAGGATGCCGCCATTACAGGAAATGGAATATATTGTAGATGTTGATTCGACGATAATGTAATTAGACCACAAACATACTAAACATTCCGTTTAACTTAATTGAACATAAAATTCAAATACTAATGTATATTGAATGGTTATTTTATACTTTAATAAGCACTTTAATAAAAGTAAATTTGAAAGTAAAATATTAGCCAATAAAATGCGTGAACTCCTATATCTTCTTCCAATGGCATTTTGCGTAAATTTCCGGTAAAGTTCGCGTGTTTCCGTGGGAGTCTAGCGCGCCGAGAGAATTTGACTGTAATCATACACATTTATCTAAAATAAAGTCCATAGCTTCATTTTTACTCTAAGGCTCTTCAGGCAAATATCGGACGGAACATAATATTGCAGCTTACTGGATGATATAGTAGTGTGCGCAGAAAGCGTAGAGGGATTCAGATAAGCCCTTTCAAAGAGCAACCAAGCTAAGTAACATATTCTCTCTCTCCCGTCGTGTCACGCCATTATTGGTAACTAAACTACGACGTATACAATATAAATGTAAGCTTAAAAAGGCAAATGCTTGATCATACCACTGTACAGCAAGATATTCGGCACCGTCTATAACATGAAACACGATCTCATACACTTACTTATTTTAAAAAGCAATAGTTTCCATCTTCACACGTACCCGCGAAATCCGTTATTATCAAACATGCTGAAATTCTCTAATTCCCTAACAACTAGTGTGCTGTTGACCTCGGTATGCTTGTGAGTATTTTGCAACAGGTGGGAGAACAATTAAGGGGTACTAATAAGCTACAGGTGTAGGTCAAATGTCGTTCACCCCGAGGGGTTCAGGAGTAACCGGTTAGTTCGGGTTTACCATACTAATTATTCATTATTTACAATACCCCACTGATGTTTCCTTTGAACCTCCAAGGCATATAACATAAAATGGTCAAAACGGCAGGGTCCGGACACCGGATACATAGGCGTGTCACATATCGTCGAGCCGTGCAGTATTATAGTATACTGCCATGTCTAATGTGTCAAGCCCCTATGGCCCAAACTGACCTGATGTCTCTAATTACCGTATTTCTCCTGTCAACAGTTATCTACCAGACAAACAAAATCTTACCGCCAGCACACTAACGTCACTAGATATGGAACGAATTCATTCAAGATGATTCGATCATTTATGTTTGCCACATTGTATTTTACATAAAGGTATATAAAGGTAGCAATGCCTGCGTTCACTAAAATCCTATTAAATGGATGTCATATATTGATTATAGTAAATGTTAGCTCCACATAGAGATAGGATAAGATGTAACAAAGAGGTTGTAATGTGGTACTTTATGAGTTTAGGTGTATCGCAAACACAGAAGCCACAAAAGTCTCCCAACTTGTTGAATAAAATTGAAATTAGCAGTGATAGAAATGACTGAAAATATAACAGGTGCAAGGCGATCGGTAGATTGCTTCGGCGAATTATCCTCCTTCGGACCCGAACAAATATTATTTTTACAGGTTTGTGTTTTGTTTTTTCAACCCTTGCAGAAATCAAGTGGGGTATAAATGAAGTTTTTGCATCTTTTCAAAAATCCTCGATCCGCGTAAAAGTTGGATATCAATACATATCCATATCCATGTAGGCAAGGTAATGTAAACTAATTAAGAAAATAATTATTTAGGACGACTTTAAAAGGATGGTATTTGTATTACAGTAAACCTACCGAAAGGATGCCAGACCATGTTTTAAAATAGCTTAAGCATTCAGGTATATTTGTTTACAATCATTAATCGTGTCGATCATGAGTATGTGTTTTACCTCTCCCGTCGGACTTGTTTCAAAATCAAAATTATTATAATCTTCCGCCCCTCCCCAACCCCGCGACTAAAATGGGGAATCGGAATCAGTTTGTTAGTGTGTATGCCCTTGGATGAAATCTTATCAGGACAACTCCTCTTAAACTTGGTTGGTGCAGCATGTAGTTGCGCACCTGACATTAAAGTTACCGTCTAAGCAATATGTCGGAAAAAATGTGGTTAAAGTTGAAGTCATAAAATTTTCAGAAATATTTCAAGAATATTGGTATGAAATGATTTTAAAATCCATTGACTCAAGTTTGTGTCAAGCATAATCATGCGAAGCCTCTTACTGACTGCTAATTATCTCACCGCGCGCAGGGTTGGAGACATGCTATTATCATTCATAAGCGAATCCAACGAATGGCGACAAGAGGTATCTTTGGGCGAGACCGAGAACAATGTCCTTTACTGTTCGTGGAACAAGAACAATATTTCTGTCGCCCTAACGATAAGAACGAAGCATTAGAACATGTTCTCGGAACAAGAATCTCACACCACCTTACAGGTGAGAACAATTGAAACAAAGATCGATTGCGGCATGTGATATGTATCATCGTTATACAAGCCATTTCAAACTTTCTATGATGTTATGTGCAATCACTGTATAATTTACAGTTTTGTATTTCGATTTGTGCAATCAGTTTTTAATTTACATACTTGAACTTTTTCTTTGCAAAGTCAGCAGTTGTGATTTTATTACGTTACTGTTCAGAATGTTTTTGTTGATCTGTTGTACTCACAGCAATTCATTCACACTCGTGATGTTGGCATGTAAAAAATTCGTTCTAGCTGTTAGAGCGTCAATTTACCGGCACACACAAGAACATGTTCCGGATTGTTCGTGAAAACTGTTCTCGAGCTCGCCGAAAGACACCCTATGTACGGCTGGGTCAGAGGTAATACTTACCCACTACTACGTGTTCGATAAGGTCAGAGGTACTGTTTATTTATAAAGATCGATCCCCCCACTTGGAATGCATGACTTTAAGATTCACTTAAGAAGTTATATTACCAAAAAAAATATTGTTTTAGCAGAAGGAGCATGCTAAACTTTGGCCAGAAATAATCGAATTATTTACGGCACGTAAGAAAATCACATTTAATTCCTTTTTGTTTTATATCTTTGACACGTCTCACACCCTGAGTGTGGTTATTAACAGAAAGTTAACATGCATTTTCTTTCTTCAAATGCCAGTTTTATCCTGCTGATAAGAAGAGCAAACTTTAGCGTGACGGTAACTTCAATATTTCGGTTTCTGCTTATCCCCCTCAAAGTTGTTGCCCTTTTGAACATATTTGCCAAAATTGTATGGCCAATTACGATTAGTGATACATAGGGTTGGTAAAATTCTTCTGTGACCCTTTCCTGATGATCCTTGGTATGTCGTCAACATATCGTTTCCATAAGTTGCACACTAAGGGGACAGTTGCTATTGCCTCTTGCTCAAGATGTTCCATGAATAACTTGGCCGCCACAATATGAGACACCGGACTACCCATAACAATGCAGAAGAGTTGCAGATATATGTTATCTAGGAAACTGAAATATGTTGTCAGCACAAATTCCAACGACTCCATGATGTCCTGAATCTGGAGAAACGACACACATTATAAACACTTACTGATTGTGATACATAACCTTTCTACAATTCATACTTAGCAACATGAACAACATTTCAGACAACATCGTTTATAACTTGAGTTCTATGGGGTCGACTTTGAATAAAGAGGATACACTTCATATTTAAAGGCAGACTTTCATTTTTTTTGTAGTCAAAATGGCCGCATTGGCGTCTGATTTGCTGAAACAATAAAGGTTATAACTTGAGTTCTATTTAAACAAAAACTTGCCCATCATCTGGGCCCGTATTCATGAAACGGATCTCATTTCAAGCATGGATTGTGTGCTCAAGCCTACATGTAAGTTATTGTTTCGGTTATAAATTAATAATAATAATAATTAAAAAAAAGTCATTGATTTGGTAAACATGGAAGAGACTTAAAGCCCCAAACTGTTTTAATGCTTACATTTGACTTTTTGATTGTTTGACATGATTTAAGCGAGTTACAAGAAAGTTAGTTTGAGCGCATAATCCATACTTGATCATAAGAACGGTTTCAGGAATACGGGCCCAGTTATTAGCTCGCCTATCAAGGCTTTTGGAGGGGAGGGTTGAGCTTATATTTATTCACCCCGTCGTCAGCATTTAACTATTGTTTTAGCCAAAATATTCACGTTCAAGATACTTTTAATATCCCATACCCAATGTTAATATAAACTTTATTTCTTTTCTCTAAACATTTTCTTCGGGTTGGTAGGTATGGATTATGAACAATACTTTCTGCACAACCAATAAGATTTTTTTCTGTGACGTTTCGATGACTAGTACGATATGTACACTGTCACCTTCATCAGACAAATGACCAGTAGTGTGTACGAGTTGTCCACACAATCGATGTCGATTCGGCTACGCTGTAAGCGTATGTATAATAGTTGTTATATATGTACCGAAATGACTCAATTCAGCTACGCTTTGTTTAATACTTGGTCAAGGGGAAGGTAACAGTTGTCATGGACACCGACGATTATGAGGCCAAGGTCATAACAAAGCTACAGAACAACAAGACATATGAACAGTTGCAGACCAATCCAACTCAAAAGTTTAAAAGGCGTCTCATAGCCCTCCTGTCAAAATTAAAACAAGAGAGCAGGGTTATAGAAGGCCAATACAGATATCTGTATCCCACAGCAGAGAACACTTCAAGAGTGTACTGTACACCTAAGATCCACAAGCAGGGAAACCCACTGAGGCCTATTAGAGTTAGAATTAGACATATCCTGGCACAAAAACACAAACCTCCAGATTCAGGACATCATGGATTTGCTGCAACTTGTGCTGACAACAACGTTTGTGAATTTCTGAAACAACATCTATCAACAACGCTTCGGCACTGCTATGGGTAGTCCAGTGTCTCCCACTGTGGTCAATTTGTTCATGGAACATTTGGAGCAAGAAGCAATAGCCACTGCCCCCATAGAATCCAAGCCTAGCTTATGGAAACGATATGTTGACGAGATAGTCAGGAAGGGGTCACAGAACGATGTGACCACACGTATCAACACCATAGATGCCACTAACAACATCAAATTTACATGTGAGGAAGAAACCAATGCCCTTCTTAGACACTCTACCGGTAAAGAAAGAAGACGAAACCGTGAAGGTATAGAAAAAGACCCATACGGACCAATACCTGAACTTCAAATCACACCATCCTTTGCACCAGAAGTTAGGCGTCGTACGCACATTGTTCAACAGTATGATACAATAGTTACAGAACGACAGGACAAAACACGAGAGCAGAATCACATCGTAAGGGCAATAAGAACATGTGCATATCCGGAATGGGCCCTAAAACAGATGCAAAAACACTGTCAAAGTAAGGGGGAAACAAGAAAAGGTCAATCAACCGGTAATGGCATAGCAACAGCCATGAAGCCCAACAAGACGCTTCGTAATATCCTAGTACACCCTAAGGATAAAACACCTAAAGAAAATGTCGCAGAATGCGTTCACAAAATCGGATGCAAATACTGCGACGTATCGTATATTGGAGAGACGGGAAGGCGATTTGGGGTTCGCATGGGTGAACACCGGAAAGATACGGAAACCCAAGAAGGTAGGAAGTTCACCAGATCAGAAAGGAAGCAGTCAGAGTTCCAGATAAATAAATCGGCAATCACAGACCATGTCACACAGAATAATCATGTGATTGACTGGGATAACTCAAACGTTTTGGACAGGGAGAGCAATGTGTTCAAGCGGCAGATAAAGCCATCTGGATACGCCGGTGAGGGACAATTCTAAATCGAGATGAGGGGGTTCAAACATCTATGACCAAGTATTAAACAAAGCGTAGCTGAATCGAGTCATTTCGGTAAATATATAACTATTGTACATACGCTTACAGCATAGCCGAATCGACATCGATTTTGTGGACAACTCATACACATTTTACACCTTTGTGTGCATATGCATTTGTCTGATGAAGGTGACAGTGTAGATATCGTACGAGTCATCGAAACGTCACATAGAAAATCTTATTGGTTGTGTAAAAAGAACTTTTCATTATTTATTTCATTTCTTTTTCATTTACAGTGTAATATAAAATAAAAAGTGTTACCACTTATGTAGATCTATCTCCTCAATGTTAGGAGAGATGTAGAGACTACTAAGTTGGCGATATTTAATTGATTTTTGTTATCTCTTTATCCCAAAAACAGCCAAAATAATTTATCTTGATAAAGATTTTTTATTTTAAGATAAAGCAAGGCATTACCAATGATATATCTGTACAGGCAAAATGTTGAATCAAATCACAAGTAATTTGCTGTCCGATTACAACAATAGATCCTGAATAAAGATATTGCCATTGAACTGTGTCTTAACATTTAAAAAAAAAGTTTTACAAGTTCTTCCCAGTAAGGTGTCTGGACAACTGGGCCTGTCAAACGTTAAATCGAATCCTTTCTTACTAGGTACCGTAATTGTCTGGACAAATGGGCGTGTCGAAGGTTAAATCGAATCATTTTTACCTAGGTGTCATAATTGTCCAGTTTCCATTTGCTGTCATGTCTTTTCATATGTACTGTGAGTTCTGATTTCCGGCCTCCTGTTTTGATCGGTTTTATATTTTAATTTCCCTTAGACTAAACTGATTAAATACCGTTCTATAATAACATTTCATATATGAACAGCTGTACCAATTATAACATTATTGTCTGAAAAACTTGACTGTCCAAACAGTTGGAACAAAGGTTTATTTAACGTTTATTTGACGTTTCGATGACTAGTACAATATGTACACTGTCACCTTCATCAGACAAATGGCCAGTGAAACGTATGCACACAAAGGTGTAAAATGTGTAAGAATCAAGTCCTAGCAAATGACTATTCAATGGCAGTGGAACAATGGTTGAGTCAAGTCCTTCTTGTCTTTACAATTAAAGAAAAAGTTGGATCAAGTCTTTAACTTCAATGAATTGTCTGATCAACTGGACCAAAGGTTGAATCAAATTAATTTAACTATGGGATTTTCTAAACTATTAAACCGAAGGTTAGGATGAATCAAGTCCACATTAATGATTTATCTGAATAGTCGGACTAAAGCCCCGATAAGACCTTGTACAAAGGTGAGTATCAACAGAGTGACCAAAGACGCTTTGAGTCAGGTAAGCCAACAACATCTAGTACCGGTAATTGAATATCACGCTCTTAGGTATAGAGAAATAAAACCAACATCAAATTTCAACACATTTAATAATTTATTGTAGAATTTGTATATTACATTGCTGTTAACAGATACATCAATACTTAATTACAAATATTATAAAACTGTGACTTTGTTGTGGCAGGCAGACCAATAGGTATTTAACTTATAAACACACTGTAAACAACATTGACATGCAATTTTGACAACATCAGTGACAACACTAACACGAGAAATTCTTACAGGATATTTTAAACTGGTGAACTTTTTGATGTTGAACACTTGCAAAGTGTGTTAACATAAAAAAAAAGTATCTTTTCTGTATAAATAAAATAAAATTTGATAGAAGTTAAATCACAGTTTTGTACATAAAGCTTGCATCTCAACTGATGTAATGCAACAAAAAAAGAAATATAAAAAAAGGAATGTTGAGTTGAGTAGTTGATGGAATAGAATCCTCATTTTTTTTTTACATCTTACAAAAATAGAATCTGACTGAGCAGACTTTTGGACATGGAGATTGTTGACAACATGTACATGACAACAGTGACCAGACTTGTGTACAGGGCAGGACGGACATTATGTAAGGGCCACTTGTGATCGATATGAACCAGTGGAAGGACGGATTTATCTCTGATAAAAAAAACATTGAGTAACACACTGGATATACATTGAAATAAAAACTGAGACATTCTGTATCATGGCTAAGTAACTATGTTGGTACTATGGGTTATAACCCTAATGTCTGGACCAGATATCAAACAATATTTATATGATTATACTAAAATATTCTTAAAGAAATATTCAATAATGCCTCATAAAATATTGAATGGATTCCATTTTTTTTTTTATTAAACACCACTGATAAAATATTATTTTCTTCAACAGTCAAAAGTGATGTCTGTAAGTTTGTGCCAAAGTTTGAAGTAATGTTGGTGTGGAGGCTTATGACTAAAACAGCACTTGCAATATGCGTTCATTCCATATAATACATCTTCACAAATATTTACAACTGTGGTATAAAAAAGGAATGTTGATAGATAAGCCACATGGAGGTGCAGTCAATAGAGTTACCTAAAGCCTCACAACAGCTAGTTCACCTGTGATAGGACACGTATCAGACAGTGTTGTATAATACAACAGCTAGTTCGCCTGTGATATGACACGTATCACAGTGTTGTATAATAGAACAGCTAGTTCACCTATGATAGGAAATGTATCACAGTGTTGTATAATACAACAGCTAGTTCAGGTATCACACAGTGTTGTATAATACAACAGCTAGTTCCCCTGTGATAGGCCACGTATCACCCAGTGTTGTATAATACAACAGCTAGTTCACCTGTGATAGGACACGTATCACACAGTGTTGTATAATACACAAGCTAGTTCACCTGTGATAGGACACGTATCACACAGTGTTGTATCATACAACAGCTAGTTCACCTGTGGTAGGACACGTATCACACAGTGTCGTATAATACAACAGCTAGTTCGCCTGTGATAGTACACGTATCACACAGTGTTGTATAATACAACAGCTAGTTCACCTGTGATAGGACACGTATCACACAGTGTCGTATAATACAACAGCTAGTTCACCTGTGCTAGGACACGTATCACAGTGTTGTATAATACAACAGCTAGTTCACCTGTGATAGGACATGTATCACACAGTGTTGTATAATACAACAGCTATAGTTCACCTGTGATAGGACACGTATCACACAGTGTTGTATAATACAATGATATGTTTTCATTGGTAGGCTCCTCATACTTTCATGAAGGATTTGGTCGAGTGGACAAAATAATTCTATAACATATTAAACATTTATATGTACATTAGATTTAATACACTGCACTTGGTGCATTTATCACAGATATGCATGTTAAAAGGAATAATATACATGTTAAGTAATTTCTCTTCATCAACTGTGCTGCAGTTTCTCCTCTGGATTTGTAGGTACAAGGTATTGATAATACAGTGACACTGTACCCAGAAATAAGTTATCCCACTCAATATACACAGTTCAAACTTGTAACTGTACTTAAGAGCATACCTGATATTCACCATAGCAACAAGACTGACACTGCTACACAAATTCCTTTTTTTCTTGTACAGCTCGCTCAGGCAACAAAAATTAAAATACTGTTTTTCATGAAAGACGGTACTGCCTTTATTGAAGTAAATAAAAGTCAGTCTGATTTGTACACAAAACAATTGTTAATCCTATATTGACCTCCTCATCATTTCTTCTTTTTACCACCTCCAGGACTTTTTGCACCCTTAGCACTCTTATTTCTGCCCTTGGGCGATTTGGACGTGACCTCTGCTGCCAATGCTGCCTCTTTCTCAGCCTCAGCTTCCTGTTTCTTACGTTCCTCATCCAGGAACTTCTGTCGAAAGGCCTCTCTAGGCTTATTGATTCCTTCCCTGGCACTGTCCAACATAGCCTGTACAACACAGAAATAGTTCTATTATGTGTAACAAACTGGATAGTCTACACTGTAATGTACTGTGACACACTGGATAACCTACACTGAAATGTACTGTGACACACTGGATAGTCTACACTGTAATGTACTGACACACTGGATAACCTACACTGAAATGTATTGTGACACACTGGATAGTATACACTGTAATGTACTGTGACACACTGGATAGTCTACAATGTAATGTACTGTGACAAACTGGATAGTCTACACTGTAATGTACTGTGACACACTGGATAGTCTTCACTGTAATGTACTGTGACACACTGGATAGTCTACACTGAAATGTACTGTGACACACTGGATAACCTACACTGAAATGTACACACTGGATATCCTTCAATATAATGTACTGTAATGTACATTCTGGATAACCTACACTGTACTGTACACTGTAATGTACTGTGACACACTGGATAACCTACACTGAAATGTACTGTGACACACTGGATAGTCTACACTGTAATGTACTGACACACTGGATAACCTACACTGAAATGTATTGTGACACACTGGATAGTATACACTGTAATGTACTGTGACACACTGGATAGTCTACAATGTAATGTACTGTGACACACTGGATAGTCTACAATGTAATGTACTGTGACAAACTGGATAGTCTACACTGTAATGTACTGTGACACACTGGATAGTCTTCACTGTAATGTACTGTGACACACTGGATAGTCTACACTGAAATGTACTGTGACACACTGGATAACCTACAGTGAAATGTACACACTGGATATCCTTCAATATAATGTACTGTAATGTACATTCTGGATAACCTACACTGTACTGTACACTCTGGATAACCTTCAACGACTGTACACTCTGGATAACCTACACTGTAATGTACACTCTGGATAACCTACACTGTGCTGTACACTCTGGATAACCTACACTGTACTGTTCACTCTGGATAACCTACACTGTACTGTACACTCTGGATAACCTACACTGTACTGTAAACTCTGGATAACCTACACTGTACTGTACACTTTGGATAACCTAAAATGTCACAACATGTCAAACATGCATATTTTATACAGATTTAGTATATATATACATATATTTAATGTCTTAAGTTATAAAAAAAATCTTGATAATATGAAATGTCTACATGCAGCTATGCTTTTACGTCACATAAGATGAGCCCAGATGGCTTCACATATTGGACATGTTACATGTGTAGATTGCAATATTAATGAAAGCCTGCTAAACAGAATAGTCCTGTGAAATAAAAGAGATACATGCTGTGTATCTATTTATGTTAATATAGTGACACATAAAATCTGTAAAACAAAGAGAAAGTGAACAAGTGTTAGTACAATATGTAGAAGTTAGTAAAGGGTGAGCACTCCGGTCCAACAGACATAAGTAATATATAACTAATCTATATTAATTTGTCTAAATTAACATTTTAAATATATGTAATAAAGTCACCATACACCTTTCTTCTCTTGTAGTTTATTAAGTCACATCTTTAACTGTTATAGTACTTTATTCCACCAGTAAAATACAAAATCAATTTTCCAAGCCCAAACTAAAACAGATCACCAAAAAACATTCTCCAAACATAAGAACTAATCAAAAAAAGTTTCCAGTGCCCAAAACATGATACCACCAAGTAGTGTAAAATAAACTTCAAATAAACTCTCACCATACAGGCAGGTTTTACCACACTGAGTCTGACTGAGACGTCACGAATGATTTCATTACATGTTATCTCAGTGAGACCCAGTTTGATACCTACTATAATATCATACACACACTAACAATTTCTACTTTGCAGACATTTTGCTGCGCTTTCTCTGTGTGACAAATTTCTGTCGATATTGTTCACGAGCAAGTTGAAAGGCATCTCTTTCGTCGTCTACACATTCCTAAAATAGAAAAGGAGTAAAAAACACAGAAGGAAGGGATTAATAAAGAGAAACACACAACACACATGAGGGTTTAGAACTATGCAAGTTTCTATCATGGGAAGGAATGTTGTGTAATACATCATAACAGTGATTGAATCTCTGTGAAAATTAATTATATTAAAGTTTGAAGTAAAAAATGTTTGTAAGAAATTCTAGAACCTAGTTATGTACCTCTTTACAGTACAACATTTTTATAACAAAATCCTTGGGAACCATTTAATTACTATTGTATAGTAAAGCATGTTTATTACAATCCCTCGGACCCAATACATTACCACTGTACAGTAAAACATGTCTATAACAATCCCTGGCACCCAATACATTACCACTGTACAGTAAAACATGTTTATAACAATCCCTGGGACCCAATACATTACCACTGTACAGTAAAACATGTTTATAACAATCCCTGGGACCCAATACATTACCACTGTACAGTAAAACATGTTTATAACAATCCCTGGGACCCAATACATTACTACTGTACAGTAAAACATGTTTATAACAATCCCTGGGACCCAATACATTACCACTGTACAGTAAAACATGTTTATAACAATCCCTGGGACCCAATACATTACCACTGTACAGTAAAACATGTTTATAACAATCCCTGGGACCCAATACATTACCACTGTACAGTAAAACATGTTTATAACAATCCCTGGGACCCAATACATTACCACTGTACAGTAAAACATGTTTATAACAATCCCTGGGACCCAATACATTACTACTGTACAGTAAAACATGTTTATAACAATCCCTGGGACCCAATACATTACCACTGTACAGTAAAACATGTTTATAACAATCCCTGGGACCCAATACATTACCACTGTACAGTAAAACATGTTTATAACAATCCCTGGGACCCAATACATTACCACTGTACAGTAAAACATGTTTATAACAATCCCTGGGACCCAATACATTACCACTGTACAGTAAAACATGTTTATAACAATCCCTGGGACCCAATACATTACTACTGTACAGTAAAACATGTTTATAACAATCCCTGGGACCCAATACATTACCACTGTACAGTAAAACATGTTTATAACAATCCCTGGGACCCAATACATTACTACTGTACAGTAAAACATGTTTATAACAATCCCTGGGACCCAATACATTACCACTGTACAGTAAAACATGTTTATAACAATCCCTGGGACCCAATACATTACTACTGTACAGTAAAACATGTTTATAACAATCCCTGGGACCCAATACATTACTACTGTACAGTAAAACATGTTTATAACAATCCCTGGGACCCAATACATTACTACTGTACAGTAAAACATGTTTATAACAATCCCTGGGACCCAATACATTACTACTGTACAGTTAAACATGTTTATAACAATCCCTGGGACCCAATACATTACTACTGTACAGTAAAACATGTTTATAACAATCCCTGGGACCCAATACATTACTACTGTACAGTTAAACATGTTTATAACAATCCCTGGGACCCAATACATTACTACTGTACAGTAAAACATGTTTATAACAATCCCTGGGACCCAATACATTACTACTGTACAGTAAAACATGTTTATAACAATCCCTGGGACCCAATACATTACTACTGTACAGTAAAACATGTTTATAACAATCCCTGGGACCCAATACATTACTACTGTACAGTAAAACATGTTTATAACAATCCCTGGGACCCAATACATTACTACTGTACAGTAAAACATGTTTATAACAATCCCTGGGACCCAATACATTACTACTGTACAGTTAAACATGTTTATAACAATCCCTGGGACCCAATACATTACCACTGTACAGTAAAACATGTTTATAACAAAAAACATGTTTATAACAATCCCTGGCACCCAATACATTACTACTGTACAGTAAAACATGTTTATAACAATCCCTGGGACCCAATACATTACTACTGTACAGTTAAACATGTTTATAACAATCCCTGGGACCCAATAAACACATTTGAAATGTTCTGTACAGATTTGCAGTGACTGTTGGCTCTAGTCTAAGGTGACTCTGTCCACAGTGGTGTAGGCTTGGTGCATACTGTAGAGCTGTTACATTTTGGGTGGCTTATATTTTGCAATTGTTCTGATCAGAAAAAAATCATGAAGAAATACAAAACATGGTATGGGTTTTTGATTTCATGCAATCTATGATAAACAAACACATAGCAAAATTAAATCACATGCAAAAAGTATCAACTATATAGTGCATTATAAGAGTTGCATGCAAAGGCAGTGCTCTATTTTGTGCCACGTATCTCTTATCCCTTTCTGTATAGTACTCTTCTCCTGACTTGTTACAAGGCCCCTACTTAATATTCAAACAAACTACATCAGCCAGTACTCTTCTCCTGACTTGTCACAAGTCTCCACCTAGATATCCAAACAAACTACATCAGCTAGTACTCTTCTCCTGACTTGTTACAAGGCCCCTACTTAATATTCAAACAAACTACACCAGCCAGTACTCTTCTCCTGACTTTTTACAAGGCCCAACCTAGATATCGCAGTACTCTTCTCCTGACTTGTTACAAGGCCCCTCCTAAATATCCAAACAAACTACATCAGCCAGTACTCTCCTGCTGACTTGTTACAAGGCCCCACCTAAATATCCAAACAAACTACATCAGCCAGTACTCTTCTCCTGATTTGTTACAAGGCCCCACCTAGATATCCAAACAACCTACATCAGCCAGTACTCTCCTGCTGACTTGTTACAAGGCCCCACCTAGATATCTAAACAAACAATATCAGCCAGTACTATTCTCCTGACTTGTTACAAGGCCCCACCCAGATATCCAAACAAACTACATCATCCAGTACTCTTCTCCTGACTTGTTACAAGGCTCCACCTAGATATCCAAACAAACTACATCAGCAAGTTCTCTTCTCCTGACTTGTAACAAGGCCCCACCTAGATATCCAAACAAACTACATCACCCAGTACTCTTCTCCTGACTTGTTACAAGGCTCCACCTAGATATCCAAACAAACTACATCAGCCGGTACTCTTCTCCTGACTTGTTACAAGGCCCCACCTAAATATCCAAACAAACTACATCAGCCAGTACTCTTTCCCTGACTTGTTACAAGGCCACCTAGATATCCAAACAAACTACATCAGCCGGTACTCTTCTCCTGACTTGTTACAAAGCCCCACCTAGATATCCAAACAAACTACATCACCCAGTACTCTTCTCCTGACTTGTTACAAGGCTCCACCTAGATATCCAAACAAACTACATCAGCTAGTACTCTTCTCCTGACTTGTTACAAGTCTCCACCTAGAAATCCAAACAAACTACATCAGCTAGTACTCTTCTCCTGACTTGTTACAAGGCCCAACCTAGATATCCAAACAAACTACACCAGCCAGTATTTTTCTCCTGACTTGTTACAAGGCCCCACCTAGATACCCAAACAAACTACATCAGCCAGTACTCTTCTCCTGACTTGTTAAAAGGCCCCACCTAGATATCCAAACAAACTACACCAGCCAGTATTTTTCTCCTGACTTGTTACAAGGCCCCACCTAGATATCTAAACAAACAACATCAGCCAGTACTATTCTCCTGACTTGTTACAAGTCTCAAGCTAGATATCCAAACAAACTACATCAGCCAGTATTTTTCTCCTGACTTGTTACAAGGCCCCACCTAGATACCCAAACAAACTACATCAGCCAGTACTCTTCTCCTGATTTGTTACAAGGCCCCACCTAGATATCCAAACAAACTACATCAGCCAGTTCTCTTCTCCTGACTTGTAACAAGGCCCCACCTAGATATCCAAACAAACTACATCAGCCAGTACTATTCTCCTGACTTGTTACAAGGCCCAGCCTAGATATCCAAACAAACTACATCAGCCAGTTCTCTTCTCCTGACTTGTAACAAGGCCCCACCTAGATATCAAAACAAACTACATCAGCCAGTACTCTTCTCCTGATTTGTTACAAGGCCCCACCTAGATATCCAAACAAACTACATCAGCCGGTACTCTTCTCCTGACTTGTTACAAGGCCCCACCTAGATATCAAAACAAACTACATCAGCTAGCTTCTATAGCTGTATTAAACACCTGGATAAAGAAATGTGCATCTGGACAGCATCTGTTCTCCTATCTGGAACTGAAATTGTTTACTTAAAACAGAACTGTTGATCAATTTTTAATAGAGATTAATTATCACCATCAAAAGACATAGCAAAATTTGAAGCTGATTGGCAGATGTTTTCAGCGTCCCATAATCATGTACTAATTACCAAAATTAAATGTGAAAAACGTGAATTCCTAGATATGGCAATCTTCTGGGTGTTATACTGTATACTGAGAAATGTTCGTTCCCAGTTAAACTTAATATTGAATTTTTTAGATTGAATGTAAATTGTTATGTTTTTGCGGGTCGTAATTTGTACATGTGATATTGTTTATTATATATGTATGTCATTAAATCATCTTCATTCAAAAGTATATATTACAGGTTCATATTGTAAATCATTTATCTAAATATGTAACCCTGGTAAATCAAAGAATTTGTTATAACTACATGTCTAAAAATAAATCTGCATGCTGTCGATTGACAGATACAAAAAAGCAGCAAAAATATAATGAACATTGACATAAGGTGGGTACGACACAATATCATGACTTTAGAAAGGTTATAAGTCTAGCTAATATCTGAACTAAAAGTATGGCTGATACGGTAGGTGTACATCTGATGTACTGTTATATTAGTAGGGTAACTCTTATTGTATCTATACACATGCAGGTCAGGAATCAAGCACAGCAAAAAGGCAGTCTACCAACCATGCAACTCGGGTGATGATTATCAAAGGAGTTTCAAGAGGAGTTGACGATAAAAAGTTGTGAGGATCAAGGAAAACATTGGTAAGGATACCTAGCGTGTATGTTCAATAACTAGCACACATCCCCAGCGTACCTGTAAGTCTTCACACTGCTCCAGTTGTTTGACCTTGATGTTGTTTCTCATCAGTTTGTCTTGCTCCCTCCAAGTCTTCACCTGTTCCCTGAACGCCTTGTACTCCTCCACCTGTCGTTTGTTCTCCTCCTCTCGTCGCTGGATCTCCTCCTCATCCAGGTACCGAGGCTCTCCACTCGCCTTCCTGTAAAACATATTCTACTGTTCAGAATTTCTTTAGGACAGCATTATTTAGATCCCTCGAATCACTAAACATTTTCAATAAATCTGCCCTCTTATGTGACAACACAGGAAAAGTAGGGTTAAGGTATATGTATGTAACAGATCAGGAGTGACCTAGGAAAGTGAGATTTCTTATGACATGGAGTTCATATATATCAGGAATATACTGACCTGAGGAAGGGAGTGATATCCAAGGGAGGCAGGATCTCTTTGGGTGTGGGAGGTGGGGGTGGCTCCAGAGTGAGAATCTCCTCCTTGTCTTCATGCATAGAGAGTGGGGTCTGAGGGGGAGGGATCTCTGCCTCTGACTCTGGCTTATCCTCGCCTTCTTTTACCTCCTCCTCCTCCTTGTCAGGGTGGAGCTTGATTAGGTGGGTGTTCAAGTACTTGAGACGAGACTGCAGAGCCTGAAGAGGTTCAAGGGAGCATGTAAAACTCTGCTTATGTTACAATGTAGTATATCAATATTTATCTGATCTATTTCTCTGTACAATCTAAAGTTAATTTTATTAGGTACACAACTGAAATCCTTTCTTATTAGGAATTTATTTGCACCATAAAACACATAATTTAACAATTAATTGAAATTGGTTAATTATTGGTTATCATCTCTAGTGAATTAAACAAATAAACACAATAAGAATTTGATTGTTTTAAAACATAAACACTAAAATATACTGATGCCAGAAGAACAATTTGATTCCAACCAACCCATACCTTAGCAGCTCGGCCAGGCTCAGCATTCTCCCATGCTTTCTTCATGGCCCGTATTTCATCAGCACGTTCTGTATCTTTTTTCACTTCAATATCCTCCTGATAACACAATCAGATAGGGTTAATATGACCATATAATTTAGAAGCTTGATTGTCTACATAGGAATGTTTTGAAACCATTATAGAGTACCAAAGACGTCCTGATGAAGTGTCACAGGGAAACTACTTAACGGGAACCTTCCTGACATTTGAATGTGGCTCAATTGGATAGAGGTTATATAAAGAAACCCTCTATGACCTTGGAACTGTCCCAATAGGACAAGTATTGCATAACGGACCAAGGACAATAGAGAGTGTCCCAATAAGAACAGTGTGGCATTAAGGGACCCTCCCAGAACAATGGAATGTGTCCCAATAGGACAGGTGTTGTTTAAAGAAAGCATCCTTTACAAGACATGGGCTACCCTACAGTTTGTCTACTTCCCCTCATCTATGAGACAGATGGAATAGTCTTTAGGTCCTTTACTTACGAAGGAGCTGGCATCACTGACCACTCGCAGTGTCCAGTGGGGTTTAGTCATGTCAAACGCTTGGGATGGAGGCCTTGAACCCTTTTGATCCTTGTCTTTGTCCTTCCCTCCTTTCTTATCTGTCTTGCCTCCCTTGCCTCCTTTCTGTGAGCTACTGGATGTTGCAGGAGCCTTCTCCTGTTTAGGAGGAGATGGTGGCCGGTCTTTATTGGCAACTGGAGACAAAAAGTATTGGTGTTAACGTCTTAGACTAACACACCTGATTTATTTTGTATCTTTTAAATGATTGTATGTCAATAAAAAGAAATCTCATAAAATGCCTTTCCTTAATGATGAAAGTAGTCACAGATAACTAATGGCAGACAGTGTAACCAGTTATGTTATCTTACAGTAAAGGGAACAGTCATAAGAAGGTTTGTGCAACTACCGTAAAAATATGATTGTTACAATAAGGTGACCAACATAAAAACAAAACAACAAAGGTCTTATATTCTAACAAAAAACACACTATGAACTTTAAAATACGAAAGCATTGTGCAAAATTCAATTAAGCAATAAAACAAAAAATAAACATAAAATACTAGGTCTATCACAGTAACAGTGTTTCCTAGTTCTTTGTATACCATACAAGTTTTCCCTTAATGATAAAACACTGACAGTAGATATTAAATCTGAAGTCAAATTTACTGAAATGTCTTATAGAAGACACAACTAAACCAAGAACTAGGAAATTACCCCTCCCAAGTAAGGAAAATTTCATAAAAAATATGTTGATTCTCAAAGTACAAAATGTGCAAATACACATGTTTCTGTTACCTAGTAATGAATCAGCTATAAAGATTCATTTCCAGAGGTAGGCCTAGGTGTGGTACATGCAATGGTGATAAATTGAGGTGAGTGCAGTGTAGTACAGGACTGACATGTTATACAGGTCACAAACTCCAGTCAAACTGTGAAACACTGTGTCGAGTGTATCCATTGGCCAGTTCAAAAACCTAGTAGCCAATCAGAACTGTAGTAGTGTTCACACACAGACAGGAAGTGACCATACTGGATGTGTGACATTATTTTTACTGATTTAGCATGCACCATAACCCCAAACACCAAGACACTTGTTTGCTTTGATAAGTGTTCCTCTCCATGTTAAATACTGGTATTTGTTTAGTAGATCATGTATATAAATGTATATAATATTTAAATATAAAAATATATATATGTACTCTAATTAAGATAATATACACATTAAGTAATATATATGATATGAATTTACAGAATTAAAATAAAACATATTCCGTCACCTTTATAACTTTCCAGGGTATATAAGTTCCCAACAAAACTGGGTAAAGAGACGTGACTACCTTATTTACCCTGGTAAACTACAAAAACACCTAGTACGATCACTATACAATCACTTACTGTCACCTAGTACGATCACTATACAATCACTTACTGTCTTCATTTGGAGGCGGTTTGAAGCTTACTGATAAAAAGACAAATGTAATCTATGTTTTATTGGAGACATGCAAATATTTCTCTTTTTTTTATAGACAGCTGACCAATGGAAGAATAGTCATCAAATATGCTATAACATGACCTTAGGAAATAGGATTCAATGTGATAACTGTACAAGTGTGTATAGAAATGAACATGTTTGATAAGGCATGCCAAACTCAAAAAAATGATAATAAATGATATTTTACAATATTTTCAAACTAAACTTGAATGTCTAAAATAGTTGAGAACTTCAAAAGCTTATCAAAGAAAACATGAAAGGAAACATCTGACACTGAACTGGAGTTGGTACATGAAGGAAACATTTAGCTGTGACAGTTAATTTCCAATCTTTCTCCTTTTTTATAATGACTTAATCAGCTTTATATGACTGAAGTCAGACAGCTTTAAACAACCTTAATGATGAAATTTATTACAACAAAGTCTTTGTGTACAGAATCATAGACTTTTGTACACACAGTCTGGGAGTATGACCTTTGTGTACACAGCCTGAGAATATGACCTTTAATTTGTGTACACAGCCTGGGAATATGACCTTTGTGAATACAGCAAGGGAGTATGACCTTTGTGTACACAGCCTGGGAATATGACCTTTGTAAACAGGTTCACAGAGTATGACATTTGTGTACGGAGTTGGACTTTTGTTTTTAACAACAGTAATTCAGGTTATAGGGTTTCAATGGGAGAGTTGGAGAAATAATTAACAACAGTAATGCAGGTTATAGGGGTTCAATGGGAGAGTGCGAGAAATGATTAACAACAGTAATGCAGGTTATAGGGGTTCAATGGGAGAGTGGGAGAAATGATGATTCAATGGGAGAGTGGGAGAAATGATTAACAGTATTGCAGGTTACTTGGTACAATGGGAGAGTGAGAGAAATAATAAAGAACAGTACTGTAGATCAAAGTGGTACAATGGGAGAGTGGGAGTATTGGGTAAATTACAATAATAGTTTGAAGTGGTTGTTGTTACCTTTGAGCTCGTTCTTTTCTATGTCCTTGAGCATTTGTACAAATATCCAGCTGCTCTCACCGAGGGGCCAGCTGTTACGCAGCACTGTTGCTTGGATGATGTACTTGTGGGGCTGCAACATACACACACAACCAATCATATGCTTTCTCATTTCTGTATCATAATCAACCAATGAAATGCTGTGTTACATTCATTTATTGATGATCACACTATTAAGGTTGTTAACTCAGAAGTATCAAAATATACAGGCAATGAAAAGTCAAGCTACTCCACATGCATTGTTTAAAAAAAGCACCACTACCATCGACTACAGAAAGATTTTATCAAAACATCTAGTGACAAGTTACATGCACAAATTCAGATTGCTTGTAAATACTCATTGACTTGTATATCACACTACTCTTGCTTTTGCTATTCAAAAATTTTTGTTATTCTTTATTTGAAGATACATATATTTTGTAAACTTTTGTGACTTTTTTATTTACATCACATTACAACTAGACTACCTTCAAATCTTTTTCATCAATTTCTCCATCACTCACTCCTGCATCAGAAAGCCTGCTTCCCCTCTGGAACAAGTGTAATATGACATGCAACATCACAAAAACATCATGCTGTCACTAAACCATGCATACCCGTCTTGGCCCAAAAACATGCTTGACAAGGTAACATGATGTCAATGGTTTCTGTTAAGCTTCTAGCAATTACAATTGACAATCAAGATAAACTTTCATGCATAACACTATGATTATTTTCAGGTTATTCTGTGATTAGTATTACAAGATTTTTTGTGTTATACATGCTTTATTCTATAACATGCATTCTCTTCAAACACCAAACTGTTAGTATAAGACATAGAAATCTGTTATTCTTATATCTGTCAATATACCTTGCTTTTCTTACACTGGTCAATCTTTACATCCTATTTTTAGACTGGTCAATCTTTACATCCTATTTTTAGACTGGTCAATCTTTCATGCACTTAAGTATTCTTACTTCAATTCATAGCTTAATTTTTCACTTTAAATACCAGGGGAAATTCAAGTACCACTGGAACTACATTGCTCTAAGCAAAAATCTTCTGATCAATTACTCAAGGGGTCCATTTAGCACTACTAGTAATAGAAAAAAAAAATCAGCACTATACCATAGAGCACATACCCCTTGCACTAGACATTACATTTAATACCCCTGGTACAAGACGGTAAAAGCAATGCCCTTCGTACTAGCAAGTATAACCCCGGTACTAGAGGGTTTATTCAATACCCTTGGTACTAGAGGGTATATTCAATACAACTTGTATTCAATACACCTGATACTAGAGGTATATCCAAACACCCTTGTACTAGAGGGTATATTCAATACCCTGGTACTAGAGGGTATATTCAATACCCTGGTACTAGAGGGTATATTCAATACCCTGGTACTAGAGGGTATACTCAATACCCCTGGTACTAGAGGGTTTATGCAATACCCTTGGTACTAAAGGGTATATTTAATGCCCTTCGTACTAGCGGGTATAACCCTTATACTAGAGGAATATCCAATAACCCTTGTACCACAGGGTATATTCAATAATCCTTGTACTACAGGGTATATTCAATAACCCTTGTACTACAGGGTATATTCAATAATCCTTGTACTACAGAGTATATTCAATAATCCTTGTACTACAGGGTATATTCAATAATCCTTGTACCACAGGGTATATTCAATAATCCTTGTACTACAGGGTATATTCAATAACCCTTGTACTACAGGGTATATTCAATAACCCTTGTACCACAGGGTATATTCAATACCCCTGGTACTTGAGGGTATAGTAAATACACCTTGTACTAGAGGTACTTTCAATAAGACTGCTTCATGAAGACATTTAGTTCTCCTGGCACTAAACGGTATATTCAACACCCCTGGTATAAGAGAGTACATGTATGTACATGTATATTCAGCCCTCCTTGTATAAAAATGTATATTCAGCACCCCTTCTATAATGGTATTATATTCAGCCTATCAGTATATATTCAGCACCCCTTCTATAATGGTATATATTTAACCCTCCTGGTGTATCAGTATATATTAAGCATCCCTTCTATAATGGTATATATTTAGCCCTCCTGGTGTATCAGTTTATATTCAGCACCCCTTTTATAATGGTATATATTCAGCCCCCCTTCTATAATTGTATATATTTAGCCCTTCTCTCGTGTCAGTATATATTCAGCAACCCTTCTATAATGGTATTATTTTCAGCCCTCCTGGTCTATAAGTATACATTCAGCACCCCTTCTACAATGGTATATATTTAGCCCTCCTGGTGTTTCAGTATATATTCAGTCCCCCTTCTATAATGGTAGATATTTAACCCTCCTGGTGTATCAGTGTATATTCAGCACCCCTTCTATACTGGTATATATTTAACCCTCCTGGTGTATCAGTATATATTAAGCATCCCTTCTATAACGGTAAATTTTTAGCCCTCCTGGTGTGTCAGTATATATTCAGCACCCCTTCTATAACGGTATATATTTAGCCCTCCTGGTGTATCAGTATATATTCAGCACCCCTTCTGTAATGGTATATATTCAGCCCTCCTGGTGTATCAGTATATATTAAGCATCCCTTCTATAACGGTATATATTTAGCCCTTCTCTCGTGTCAGTATATATTCAGCACCCCTTCTATAACGGTATATATTTAGCCCTTCTCGCGTGTCAGTATATATTCAGCACCCCTTCTATAATGCTATATATTCAGCCCTCCTGGTGTATCAGTATATATTTAGCACCCCTTCTATAATGGTATATATTTAGCCCTCCTGGTGTATCAGTATATATTCAGCTTCCCTTCTATAGAGGTATATATTTAGCCCTCCTCTCGTATCAGTATATATTCAGCACCCCTTCTATAATGGTATATATTCAGCCCTCCTGGTGTATCAGTATATATTCAGCACCCCTGCTACTAAAGGGTTGGTGACCAAAAACAATTCTAAGTATGTCAGTGTGTTGATCTGAAATAATGAGAATTAAGGAACACTTTACTTTGACAATGATGACACAATATATATATATGATTAGTTCCCTGTGTTTGATCACGTAAACAAGACTTACGGAGGCACGGCCATCTACACTTTTGGCTGACCCTGTTCGCTTTAGTTTGGCTGTGCTGGCTTTGCCTTTAGCATCTTTGTTAGCTGAAAAAGCAAGCATTCAAGACACTTATTAACTTGCTGCCTGATATATAGTATCTAATTACTATCACATAGTATCTTTGAATGGAAAGATTAATTTTAATGACAACCCTAAATTTGTGGACTTAAATTTTGCTAAATAGAAGTATCTATTTTACATAAATTAATCATATACAGACATTCATTGCTCAGAAATACCTTATTGAAAAGAAAAGAAACAAAATGGATTAAAATTAAACCCTTATACTACCTGTGTTTAAAAATATCAAGAAGTAATTTAACAGACATACATGCTCGTGAGCTTGGGCGCTTATCCTCCGAGTTCAGGTCAACATCCTTTTGGAAAATGAAGGCTGGAATGACAGCATGCCCTTTGCCTGTGGTGCTGGCCACCTCGACCTCATCATCCAGGACAACCAGCTTGATGTACACGTCCTGTTTGGAGGTGTTCACCTGTATACTCGTCACGTTTGGTGGCATGTGGTCCTCATTCACTTTCACAGCATATCTGTCAACAAACTACCATATGAACCTATTCTCTCCAATAAACTTGAAACTTCAACCCAATCTGTCAATAAAACTCCCTTATTAAATAAACCAAATCTATAATTAAAATTTCTCACGCCATCTTATTTGTCCAAAAATTGTTTTCATCAAACCACTAATGACATAAAATGGTCAAATGAATGAGTTTCATGAACCTGAATCGTTTCAATATAAACAATAATATTTTGTTTCTGTTGTAGTCTGCCATTAGTCATTATTAGTCACAATGCAGTCACTTACCTGAAGATCACATCCTTAGGGTTTGGTATGTAGTAGTCCTTGAGTTCTCGAACATGGAACGTCGAGTTACATGTAACTTCATTCTTCTCATTCTTCTGTGGTGCCGGTAGAGGACTTAGGGAGCCAATCAGACGCATCCTCCACTTGTTGGCAGCCAATGGCATCTCTGTGGTCCTGGCTTCAGCCACAAATGTGTAGCCTTTCTGTAAGCATAAACATGCATGTGAACCTTTTCAATTCTCTCAGAGAGATTTGTACCTCTGAGCAAAGGCCCAGAGAGGGATCCTAGTAGACATAATGTACATGAAACCATTATCCCAGCATTTCTTGATTTCATAATGTCACAAATTTATAATTAAGAGGAATTTTGTTTTCTCTTCTATATAAAAAATATCTTGTAAATAGTTCAGAATTTTGTTGACATGTAAGTAACAAGTAAAAACATAATATTGGATATTTTGCCACATTTCATATATAACTTTTCCTCAACGGTAACAAAACCCTAAAATATTTCTAGCCAATGAAGAGCAAATGGTAATGGAAAAAGAAAAGTGTAGTTGCATTAACAGACCTTGTTTTTCTTGTAGACGTAGGGGGCGACTCGCTGGAAGACCTTGGGGATCTCCTCCCCGTTATCATTGTTAATCACTCTCAGCATGCATGTGTTGATTGGCACATACAGCTTGGGTACTACCAGCATCTCCTCCAGTACGTAGAATATCTCCCTAAAACACACAGCAGGCACAACATATACATTGGTGGACAACACCATTGTTCTCAGGGGACATGTCCTACTTTGTTAAAGTGCTTACTATATCTGTAACATTGTTCTCAGGGGACATGTCCTACTTTGTTAAAGTGCTTACTATATCTGTAACATTGTTCTCAGGGGACATGTCCTACTTTGTTAAAGTGCTTACTATATCTGTAACATTGTTCTCAGGGGACATGTCCTACTTTGTTAAAGTGCTTACTATATCTGTAACATTGTTCTCAGGGGACATGTCCTACTTTGTTAAAGTGCTTACTATATCTGTAACATTGTTCTCAGGGGACATGTCCTACTTTGTTAAAGTGCTTACTATATCTGTAACATTGTTCTCAGGGGACATGTCCTACTTTGTTAAAGTGCTTACTATATCTGTAACATTGTTCTCAGGGGACATGTCCTACTTTGTTAAAGTGCTTACTATATCTGTAACATTGTTCTCAGGGGACATGTCCTACTTTGTTAAAGTGCTTACTATATCTGTAACATTGTTCTCAGGGGACATGTCCTACTTTGTTAAAGTGCTTACTATATCTGTAACATTGTTCTCAGGGGACATGTCCTACTTTGTTAAAGTGCTTACTATATCTGTAACATTGTTCTCAGGGGACATGTCCTACTTTGTTAAAGTGCTTACTATATCTGTAACATTGTTCTCAGGGGACATGTCCTACTTTGTTAAAGTGCTTACTATATCTGTAACATTGTTCTCAGGGGACATGTCCTACTTTGTTAAAGTGCTTACTATATCTGTAACATTGTTCTCAGGGGACATGTCCTACTTTGTTAAAGTGCTTACTATATCTGTAACATTGTTCTCAGGGGACATGTCCTACTTTGTTAAAGTGCTTACTATATCTGTAACATTGTTCTCAGGGGACATGTCCTACTTTGTTAAAGTGCTTACTATATCTGTAACATTGTTCTCAGGGGACATGTCCTACTTTGTTAAAGTGCTTACTATATCTGTAACATTGTTCTCAGGGGACATGTCCTACTTTGTTAAAGTGCTTACTATATCTGTAACATTGTTCTCAGGGGACATGTCCTACTTTGTTAAAGTGCTTACTATATCTGTAACATTGTTCTCAGGGGACATGTCCTACTTTGTTAAAGTGCTTACTATATCTGTAACATTGTTCTCAGGGGACATGTCCTACTTTGTTAAAGTGCTTACTATATCTGTAACATTGTTCTCAGGGGACATGTCCTACTTTGTTAAAGTGCTTACTATATCTGTAACATTGTTCTCAGGGGACATGTCCTACTTTGTTACAGTGCTTACTTTATTTGTAACATTGTTTTACATTCTTAATCAAATACTTTTACAGCCTAGTTCTTGGAGCTTGTCCCAGAATTAAATGTGATAAGTAACTATATAGTGATATGTATGTATCTTTGTCTCTGAAGCTACAAAATGAGACTTCATAGATTACATCCAAACAGGATTGCTCTATACCAATTTTTGGCCAATAATGGACTACTGACCTGAACACAACAAACCAGTTATTGGCTGGCTGGTCTGGGTACTGCCCTGTGTAGTCTGCGTACGAGATCTTGTTCCACTCGTCCTGGTAGAATGGGTACTTGGACATTATGTCAGGGTCCAGTTTGAACATGTACCTAAAAGAATATGAAAACCTATCAGTTTTTTAGCTATTGACAACAAGCAGTCATACCTGCATTTGGGTCCCCTTGTATCCTTTCATGAATATATAATTACTTCTTGTAAATACTGACATCATGAGATTGATACAGTTCCAAGCCAGATTGACACCTAAAGCTGACCTACCTGAAGAGATACAGGCCATTCTGTTCAATGTTTTGTTCCAGGATGGCCCAGGACTTTTGTAGTGCTTCCATAGCTCTTGTGTTTTCCTCCGTCCCTGTAATCAATGAAATACAATCTGGACTCCAATCCTTGTGATTGACAAGAACCACATTATACAGCAATTTACACCTGTTTCTTTGATCTTTAGTGACTGTCAAGAGCCATTCATGAATTCCAAGTATTATATTCAAACTTATTGGCACAAAGTACAGATGCATGCATTTAAAATGTGGTGATATTTAAAGTTCAGCAATGCTAGAATTTGCAGATTAGCTTTTAAATCTCACACAAGTTGGATAGAAATAGCTAATAAACAAAGTGCAAAAATACTTTCCAAAGACAAACCAACAAAGTTAAAAGTTCCACATTTCCTGAGCCTGAAATAATGGTGTATATATGATGGTACAGCTGTTTTGTTCTTAATGAATGAAGTCAAAACAGGATGTTCACATCAAACGTCCTCCACTTTTGATACGTACCAGGTGTGCGGGAAACGTCCCCTTTTGATACATACCAGGTGTGCGGGAAACGCCCCCTTTTGATACGTACCAGGTGTGCGGGAAACATCCCCTTTTGATACCTACCAGGTGTGCGGGAAACGCCCCCTTTTGATACATACCAGGTGTGCGGGAAACGCCCCCTTTTGATACGTACCAGGTGTGCGGGAAACATCCCCTTTTGATACCTACCAGGTGTGCGGGAAACGCCCCCTTTTGATACATACCAGGTGTGCGGGAAACGCCCCCTTTTGATACGTACCAGGTGTGCGGGAAACATCCCCTTTTGATACCTACCAGGTGTGCGGGAAACGTCCCCTTTTGATACATACCAGGTGTGCGGGAAACGCCCCCTTTTGATACGTACCAGGTGTGCGGGAAACATCCCCTTTTGATACCTACCAGGTGTGCGGTAAACGTCCCCTTTTGATACATACCAGGTGTGCGGGAAACGTCCCCTTTTGATACGTACCAGGTGTGCGGGAAACGTCCCCTTTTGATACCTACCAGGTGTGCGGTAAATGTCCCCTTTTGATACCTACCAGGTGTGCGGGAAACGTCCCCTTTTGATACCTACCAGGTGTGCGGGAAACGTCCCCTTTTGATACGTACCAGGTGTGCGGGCGTTAAGAAGCTTCCGTACAACATATCCTTTGCCGACCTTCTGGATCTTGATGGCAGCTATCTGTTCCTCGGTTGTGGGTTCCCTGTTGTGGAGCAAAAACATGTTCATTCTGGATACAGTGTCAGACTTAGTATTATATTATTAGGTTTGTTAGGTCATGGGGTCGGTATTTTTGGTGTTAGATATTAAACATAGACAAGAAATGCAAAATTGTGAATTGATTAAATATAATCATCTGATCTTTTTCCATCACAACATGATTAACATAAACAAACACCTCAAATTTTCTCATTTGACATCTACCCCATACAAAACACTAAACAACTTACCTATTTGCCCAAGGATTTTCTACTTTATCTGCTTCCCCTAAAACAAACAAGCTTCAGAGTAATGTAATGGAACAAATATAATGCACACCCATAACATTCCTGTAAAACAGACGATGTTCAAAGTCATGTGATGGAACGAAGATAGAATAATATAATTCATCATATAAATGTGGCCCGTATCAATCCTTGTTAATGCTTTACATGTACATTTACTAAGTAGTTATCATTATTCTTCATAAAATAATGTTAGAAGTGATTTTAAATGTACATGTTTAGTACTTCACATTTTAGGTCCTTTCTGCAGAAAAAACACCTTTTCAATGAAATATACAAAATTTAAATAATTTAAAATAAGGACTACCATATATCACCATCTGAATATTATCAACCCATTAGTTAAGGACTATATTTGACCTCTGACCTCTACTTATCTAGTTAGCCAAACACGCCACACCACCAACACATAAATCTAATCCTCAATACCAGAGAAACATCCTGAAACTTGCTTCCTACAATCACTGTGTATGTTTTATTATATGAGGTCACTTGTGTGTATGATTCTCTTGCAGCACAACAAAATATTTGGTAATGATAGGTTTTTTCCAGAAGTCTATTATAAAGTTCAGGATGAATCTCAAAAACATAAACTAAATACAAAAAGAGTATAGCTTAAATTTGAACCCTTTAAAATGAAATATAAACTTTTAATACCAATTTCTGTTTAAAAAATCATTCATCAATGATAAAAATATATGTCAAACAAATTACAGTGAATCTTGTCTGGAACCTTACTGTACCTGGCCCATATCTTATATTAACTGTCTGGCAATTAACTTACATTACCTGGCCCATATCTTATATTAACTGTCTATCACCTTACATTACCTGGCCAGTTCCTTATAATAACTGTCTGTTACCTTTCCTTACCATGCCGTTAATTATATTAAATGTCTGGTACCTTACATTACCTGGTCCATGCCTAATATTAACTGTCTGATACCTTACATTACCTGGCCCATACCTTATATTTACTGTCTGGTACCTTACAATACCTGGCCTATACCTTATATTTACTGTCGGGTACCTTACATTACCTGACCCATGCCTAATATTAACTGTCTGGTACCTTACATTACCTGGTCCATGCCTAATATTAACTGTCTGGTACCTTACATTACCTGGCCCATGCCTAATATTAACTGTCTGGAACCTTACATTACCTGGCCCATACCTTATATTTACTGTCTGGTACCTTACAATACCTGGCCTATACCTTATATTTACTGTCGGGTACCTTACATTACCTGACCCATACCTTATATTTACTGTCTGGTACCTTGTACATTAAATATTTTTCATTTAAGTGGAAAATTCTATTTATTCATGTCTTATAATTATAAGACAGTTTGTTTAAATTGTTTTGGTCTTTGATTTTTTTTTATACATTATTCTACATTATTCTACTTTAAAACATTTTCTGCTTGTAATGTGTTCAACAGTGGTAGGAAAACACAAAGCAAAACAAACTTACTTCAAACTAGAATTGTAACAAGCCACAGGCTAATACTACCTACCACTCCCCCATAATCTCAATAGTAATGTGTGGCAAAGATTTTATAAAGGCTAATCAAGATTTTATGAGCATTGTTTTGGACATGATAATTACATATAAAAAAGAAAGATATTAAATGCTCACCTAACTTTGATGCAAGAGGTTTTAATCATCATTAGAGTGAAAACACCTTAGAAATCCATGGGTGCCACACCTTATGTATCTATCTTCTCCACACCCTTGGAATATGTCATGACAAAAGTGGAGGTTCTATACATGTCACTTAGTGGATTATACGAGTTGACTAGTCTGGACTGTTATAGTATCCTGTTTACCTGTATCTCTTTGATACAAGATTAAAGGAATCACACACCAGCATATGGGTAAAATTGACTGGCTTTGATTTGGGTGTAGCTTTTGTGTTAACTTCAAAGGGTAAGATATCAGCCTAGTGATTGGTGAGATTCTTTTTCTGGACCAATCAAATGGCTAATGGTGAGCCTTATATAATACCATGACATGTTCTGATGGTGAGAGAGCTATATCTGGAGTAGAACCCTTGGATTTTAAAGATGGGTGGATATTCACCAAAGCGGATATTACTGATTTAAGATAATAAACTAGCACATATTGCTAGATATATTACTTAAACAGTCAGAATGAGGTCTTAAGCTTGAATATTTGCAATGACTTGATTTTCTGCCAGAGTCCATCAAACAAACAAGTTTCACTGTAACAATAGCTAAACCCATCACATAATATACATGCATACATACACAATACAAATCAATCAAACAAAAGTAGCAACCACATGTTAGACAATGTAGGTAAAACTGACATACCCTCTACTGATGTTTCTACAGGGAGGCATGCAGAAAAGAAAAACACATATTAAAACATTGTAGGCTGTGAAGGGGCATTACTCAAGCTGGAACATGTTTAGGATTCTTACAGGTAATAAACTAGGGTTCAGGGGTTACAAAGGGCATAGAAGGGATTGTTGGTTCATAAACAAAGCTTTAGCATGGTTGTGAGGTTATAAATAGGCTTTATTTTTTTTATATAAATAAGCGGTAAGACAAGGTTTAGAAAAGTTGAGGGGTTACAAACGAATGATTAGAGAGATAACTGATCTGGTACAGTTAAACTCTTGTTTCTCAGGGTATATAGTAAAGTCAGACATAATTGTAACAGACTTGTTCGATTTTGTGATAATATTATGCCCAGTATTTATATATGTCAAGCTGTTGGTAAAGAAACAAATGATATCAACAGAAAACATGAAAGCATTACATTTATATTAATATGAGGCATGTAAAACTGAAGTATGTAGTAAATTAATTTTAAAAAAAAATGGTTATAAAAATTTAATTTCAATGAAAATTGTCAAACTGACACTATGAATGCGAAGATTTAATTTTTAGTTATATAGAACTTTCATACAGTTGGACTCATTTACATATATGCAATAATCTCAATCAGTGTTTCAATCATCAGGAAAATTATGTACCACCTGATAATTAAAACTATGTATGCATAAAGTCACTCCATTGTTTTAGTAAAACTAGGTAAATTCTACACCTACATCCACATAGAAAGTTGTAAAACACTAAAACACTGTCACCTTGTAACTGCCCAGAAAAGTCAAACATTCTAATTCCAGTCTAAATGGTTTTAATTTCATGTAGTAAATTATATGTAAATAAATATTTTTTCTAAATCACTGTGCAACTGATGTCCAAATCGAAAAAACTGATTCCAATATCACCTATGCTGGGTAAGACACATACTGTAGACAAATTGACTATTAGATATTATGGCAGTACACCGGTACCAGTACACCAATCCTGGTATTCCCATGGCAGATATTCCTTGTCCTATGTTAGATACATATTTAGATTCTCAACGAGGTGTTTAGCGTTTACACTTGCCTGTAGATAAAATCTGTCAATGAGTCCACTGGTACCTGTGGTGACATTTCAATTTCATCCATGTGCTTGTGATGAGATAATTGCTCTCATAACAAACCATGAGAATAGTTTGGGACTAAGTGTTTATCATGTATTAACTACTACTTTATATAGTGGTGATCTGCCTCACCAAGTGGACATCACTAAACACAAGCAGATATTCTTATCAAAAAACACTCCCAAATGGTGAAACCCATTCCCAAGGTAAGTATTCCTGCCTCACCAAGTAGACATCACTAAACACAAGCAGATATTCTTATCAAAAAACACTCCCAAATGGTGAAATCCATTCCCAAGGTAAGTATTCACCTACCGTGATTCCCTGACAATGGATTAATTATGTTACTGGTGGTACGAAGCAGTATTATAGATGATGATTATAATTCGTTATAAATTCTAATAGCTAGTGTACATCTCAATCCTAAAAACTACACAAGCAAGCTAATAATCAGTGCAAATTTCTCCTTGAATATGAAGCGTGAAATACATAATTCTTTCTATGAAATAATCTGAATTAGAAATGACATCCTAGCTCTGTTGCTCCGATATTACACACTCTACACAACTGGTAGATATTTTACATCTGGCCGTGCCTAAATCTGTAAGGGTTACCATCCAACAGTAACACAATTAGTCATGTAACTATCAGAGTTAAACTATTGACAGAAACAAATCTAAAAAACACATATTTACAAAAACACAACTTTTCTCTTTTCACTTATCTGAAAATGGATAAAAAATGTGGTCTCATTGTTAATATCTAGAAAGGCTACAGCTAAATGTTAATTGACGTTTCCCGAGTCACCATCAGGATACAAAGAATTGGCTAAAGGTTTGGTCAAAATCAAAACTTGCAAATTTAAGGATAAGCAAAAGGAGAGTGTTTTAATCTGATAAGAAGCCTATGACCAAAAAATATGTCCAAGCAAAATTCTAGCACTCGGAAGGGTATAACTGGTGACGTATATGGTGTATAAATGGTGACGTATATGGTGTATAAATGGCGTTACCTTGTGGTTTGACCTCCTGTTGTGTAACTCCTACAGAGAGGTAAGGTATACAGTCAATATATAAGGGGGCCAATGTCCACATGCAACGGTTATATATATAATGGAGTTGGATATGAAAAAATGATAAATATGTTAGTAGTACCTTCTATATATAAATGTAAAGAGTAGAAGGAGATCAATCTAACAGTGAGTTTATTTGAAGGAGCCAACACCTTTTAAACCTTCACCACATAGTCCATCACCCAGGGTAAATGTAGGAGTTAGCATAATTAACATTAATGTCATCAGTCTAATCATAAATGACACATCATTGATAACATCCTTAATATTATCAATAGGGTCCTTATTATTGTTGATACTGTCCTCATCATACTCTATACTGTCCTAATCATCATTGATACAGTCCTAATTATCATCATTGATACTGTCCTTATTATCATCATCGATACTGTCCTAATCATCATTGATACTGTCCTAATCATCATCATTGATACTGTCCCAATCATCATTGATACAGTCCTAATTATCATCATTGATACTGTCCTTATTATCATTGATACTGTCCTAATCATCATTGATACTGTCCTAATCATCATCATTGATACTGTCCTTATCATTGATACTGTCCTAATCATCATTGATACTGTCCTAATCATTATCATTGATACTGTCCTAATCATTATTGATACTGTCCTTATCATTGATACTGTCCTAATCATCATCAATACTGTCCTAATCATCATTGATACTGTCCTAATCATCATTGATACTGTCCTAATTATCATCGATACTGTCCTAATCATCATTGATACTGTCCTAATTATCATCATCGATACTGTCCTAATTATTGTTGATACTGTCCTAATCATCATGGATACTGTCTTCATTTTCATCGATGTTGTCCTCATTTTCATCAATACTCACAGTCCTTGATACTGTCCTTATCGTTATCAATACTGTCCTATTATCATCGAACCCGACGTTGTCCTATTATCATCAAACTGTCCCGACACTGTCCTATTATCATGATACTGTCTTAGCAACTAATTAACAAATCAAACGGATTGAATAGAAAAAAGTCTGTTTGATAACATTACATGGTACTATCTATTGAGAACATACCCGTGAGATACTGTCCTAATTATCATCATCGATACTGTCCTAATTATTGTTGATACTGTCCTAATCATCATGGATACTGTCTTCATTTTCATCGATGTTGTCCTCATTTTCATCAATACTCACAGTCCTTGATACTGTCCTTATCGTTATCAATACTGTCCTACTATCATCGAACCCGACGTTGTCCTATTATCATCAACCTGTCCCGACACTGTCCCATTATCATCAAACGGTCCCGACACTGTCCTATTATCATGATACTGTCTTAGCAACTAATTAACAAATCAAACGGATTGAATAGAAAAAAGTCTGTTTGATAACATTACATGGTACTATCTATTGAGAACATACCCGTGAGATACTGTCCTAATTATCATCATCGATACTGTCCTAATTATTGTTGATACTGTCCTAATCATCATGGATACTGTCTTCATTTTCATCGATGTTGTCCTCATTTTCATCAATACTCACAGTCCTTGATACTGTCCTTATCGTTATCAATCCTGCCCTATTATCATCGACCCCGACGTTGTCCTATTATCATCAAACTGTCCCGACACTGTCCCTTTATCATCAAACTGTCCCGACACTGTCCTATTATCATGATACTGTCTTAGCAACTAATTAACAAATCAAACGGATTGAATAGAAAAAAGTCTGTTTGATAACATTACATGGTACTATCTATTGAGAACATACCCGTGAGATACTGTCCTAATTATCATCATCGATACTGTCCTAATTATTGTTGATACTGTCCTAATCATCATGGATACTGTCTTCATTTTCATCGATGTTGTCCTCATTTTCATCAATACTCACAGTCCTTGATACTGTCCTTATCGTTATCAATCCTGTCCTATTATCATCGAACCCGACGTTGTCCTATTATCATCAACCTGTCCCGACACTGTCCCATTATCATCAAACTGTCCTGACACTGTCTTATTATCATCAAACTGTCCCGACACTGTCCTTTTATCATCAAACTGTCCCGACACTGTCCTATTATCTTCAAACTGTACCGACACTGTCCTATTATCACCAAACTGTCCCGACACTGCCCTATTATCATCAAACTGTACCGACACTGTCCTATCTGTCCTTATCATTGATACTGTCCTAATCATCATCAATACTGTCCTAATCATCATTGATACTGTCCTAATTATCATCATCGATACTGTCCTAATTATTGTTGATACTGTCCTAATCATCATGGATACTGTCTTCATTTTCATCGATGTTGTCCTCATTTTCATCAATACTCACAGTCCTTGATACTGTCCTTATCGTTATCAATACTGTCCTATTATCATCGAACCCGACGTTGTCCTATTATCATCAAACTGTCACGACACTGTCCTATTATCATCAAACTGTCCCTACACTGTCCTATTATCATCAAACTGTCCCGAAACTGTCCTATTATCATCAAACTGTACCGACACTGTCCTATTATCACCAAACTGTACCGACACTGTCCTATTATCATCAAACCGTCCCGACACTGTCCCATTATCATCAAACTGTCCTGACACTGTCTTATTATCATCAAACTGTCCCGACACTGTCCCATTATCATCAAACTGTCCCGACACTGTCCTATTATCATGATACTGTCTTAGCAACTAATTAACAAATCAAACGGATTGAATAGAAAAAAGTCTGTTTGATAACATTACATGGTACTATCTATTGAGAACATACCCGTGAGTCAAGAACATGAGAAGACAACGAGAACAGACAAGAGTTATGGTTCCTGTTTATACATCACTACTGAAAGTGAAGAATACTTTACCATGAGAAATTGACATGCCTGCATGGAAACACATTGCTAATACCATTAAATATCTATCAAATCAATAGAGTACAACAATCCAATGTAAACCTAAATTGTTTTTTTAAATATAGTGTTTAATTTTTTAATATAATAATATGTTAAAATGTTTTGTTTTTTTAATGTCAATTATTTTATATTCCAATGAAAAAATGAAAAAATTGTATGTCAATTAAACAGTAAAGTAACAACTTTTTTTTCTTTTTAGAAAAGTTTAAATTCTTTAGACAAGTTGTGGTCCTAGATGTCTACAATAGGCATTACAGTAATGGGTTACACACACATGAACCTCATGCATTGATATATATATAATCATAATTTAGCCATGCAAAGTTATGAGTACATAGTGACGGAGTAATGACATGCTTTGTTACATACAGTGATATTATAATACAGGGTGATATGACCAAGGAAGCACAGACCGGGGACCAACAAACCAAGACAACCAGACACCCGACATGGACAGGGTAAGGACCGGGGACATACAACACATTGTGGAATCCTTACGTTTCTTATCTTTATCCTTCTCCTTGCCCTGGTCTTTGGACGGTTTTGCAGATCCTCTATGACTTGTCATACCAGTCGCTAAACAAAGTTCACAAATCGAAATATTACTTTAGGTTTAGACCTGATCAAAGTACTACAAAGCATTACTTTGTTTAATGAAACAAATAAATAAAAAATAAAAATTATTGTCTTTCTCTCTGACACACTAATTCCTCATGTGTAAAGTTTTGACAATTTCAAAATTGAAAAGAAGTTTCCATATGAAAACTATTCGTGTTAAAACTCCTCTTTAATCCGACTTTAAACTCTAGAAGCAGTGTTTTGTACAACAACATACTGGGCCTACTGCTGGATGGCAGACCAAGGATGTTTTTGGTGGTGGCATCAAATGTGAACGCTCTCCAGGCAAAGGCCAGGTCCTGGGTGGCGATGTCCGACAGACACTTCCTCAGGGTATTGTACAGGGCATCATTAAAGATCTGTAATAATCAATCATTTCAACATTTTAAAATAGAACTAACAATTTTTGTTGATGTAAAGTCTTTTAAATTGTTTTGTTACTTGCCGGTAAGGACAGTGGTAGTTGACAAGTTACTCCTAGTTTTATTGCCAACCTTGAAGTGATAAACCTTAGACATAAGTTTGTCGTGCCCGTACAGACAGTGGTAGTTGACAAGTTACTCAGAGTTTTATTGCCTACCTTGAAGTGATTAGCCTTAGACATAAGTTTGTCGTGCCGGTACGGACAGCGGTAGTTGACAAGTTACTCCTAGTTATATTGCCTACCTTGAAGTGATTAGCCTTTGACATAAGTTTGTCGTGCCGGTACGGACCTTGGTAGTTGACAAGTTACTCTTAGTTTTATTGCCTACCTTGAAGTGATTAGCCTTTGACATAAGTTTGTCATGCCGGTACGGACCGTGGTAGTTGACAAGTTACTCAGAGTTTTATTGCCTACCTTGAAGTGATTAGACTTTGACATAAGTTTGTCGTGCCGGTACGGACAGTGGTAGTTGACAAGTTCTTCCCAGGCCTGTTTGAAGGCCTCACGGTCGTTGAAATAGGTGATACACTTGCCAATGCTGTTCATTACTTGCGTGGCATTGTCCACAAACCTACAGCTCTCCTGTAAATTATTTAGATACACATAAAGTAATGGTTTTATTCCTCAAACACACATATCTCAGTATATATATATTAACTATATTTCTGAACAGACTCTTTTCAAGGACCATATACCCTTTACTACAATGGATATCTTTTACATATGTCTCTAATAAGTAAAAGATAAATGTATTAATGTTAGGGCAATCCTGATATGTATAAGTACATTTAGAGACAGTATGCTAACTGTTACCTTGGTGAGCTGTGCCATTACTGTTTCCTCGTCACCAAAGACAAAGGGTGTTGTGGAGCAGAGGTGTACATGGTGGCCGAGTGGGGCCGTCATCTGGAACCGCAGCACATGGCGCCTGTACAAAACACAGCATGGAAGATGTCAATCAAGATTACATAGATACACAATGTACTTTGGTAAGTGTTTAGATATCAAACCAGATTATACAGTCACACAATGTACTTTGGCAAGTGTTTAGATATCAAACCAGATTATACAGTTACACAATGTACTTTGGTAAGTGTTTAGATATCAAACCAGATTATACAGTTACACAATGTACTTTGGTAAGTGTTTAGATATCAAACCAGATTATACAGTTACACAATGTACTTTGGTAAGTGTTTAGATATCAAACCAGATTATACAGTTACACAATGTACTTTGGTAAGTGTTTAGATATCAAACCAGATTATACAGTTACACAATGTACTTTGGTAAGTGTTTAGATATCAAACCAGATTATACAGTTACACAATGTACTTTGGTAAGTGTTTAGATATCAAACCAGATTATACAGTTACACAATGTACTTTGGTAAGTGTTTAGATATCAAACCAGATTATACAGTTACACAATGTACTTTGGTAAGTGTTTAGATATCAAACCAGATTATACAGTTACACAATGTACTTTGGTAAGTGTTTAGATATCAAACCAGATTATACAGTTACACAATGTACTTTGGTAAGTGTTTAGATATCAAACCAGATTATACAGTTACACAATGTACTTTGGTAAGTGTTTAGATATCAAACCAGATTATACAGTTACACAATGTACTTTGGTAAGTGTTTAGATATCAAACCAGATTATACAGTTACACAATGTACTTTGGTAAGTGTTTAGATATCAAACCAGATTATACAGTTACACAATGTACTTTGGTAAGTGTTTAGATATCAAACCAGATTATACAGTTACACAATGTACTTTGGTAAGTGTTTAGATATCAAACCAGATTATACAGTTACACAATGTACTTTGGTAAGTGTTTAGATATCAAACCAGATTATACAGTTACACAATGTACTTTGGTAAGTGTTTAGATATCAAACCAGATTATACAGTTACACAATGTACTTTGGTAAGTGTTTAGATATCAAACCAGATTATACAGTTACACAATGTACTTTGGTAAGTGTTTAGATATCAAACCAGATTATACAGTTACACAATGTACTTTGGTAAGTGTTTAGATATCAAACCAGATTATACAGTTACACAATGTACTTTGGTAAGTGTTTAGATATCAAACCAGATTATACAGTTACACAATGTACTTTGGTAAGTGTTTAGATATCAAACCAGATTATACAGTTACACAATGTACTTTGGTAAGTGTTTAGATATCAAACCAGATTATACAGTTACACAATGTACTTTGGTAAGTGTTTAGATATCAAACCAGATTATACAGTTACACAATGTACTTTGGTAAGTGTTTAGATATCAAACCAGATTATACAGTTACACAATGTACTTTGGTAAGTGTTTAGATATCAAACCAGATTATACAGTCACACAATGTACTTTGGTAAGTGTTTAGATATCAAACCAGTAACATGGTATGCTATATATATATGGCTTGGGTATAATGCTTAGATCAACATTATTTGATTGACATTATTTTTTTACATATTGCATTATTTCACAAATCAATTTTCAAGTCTTGATTAGAATATTCCCAATGTCAATGTTGTGTAGGTTTGTACAATGACATCTGAATTGACAGCCATCCGATGATTGTGGTATATTCTGTGTGTACGTTAGTGGCCGTTACCTACCCTGCTGGGAGGTTCAACACTGCAGCTCGGGTGGCTGTAGAACGCAGGCGTAGAATGGGCTGTCCGGTTACCAGACTTTTCCATGAGTACGGCTCGGCAATCAATGATCCTGGGTGGACTACAGGTGGCACTTTGGTCTCCATTCCTACCACCGACCCTGTACAAAACAAGGCTGTCAGTACAGTGTGCAAACAACTGGGCAGGTCATATCTTCACTCACTGATATTATAAAATACTTTCTTTTGTGTTTTTTCACAAAAACAAGGTCTTATAACAGCAGTTTGATTTTATTTGTTAATAAACGGTCTTCATATCATGATGTGGGAAATCTAGACCAAATTAAAGCATGGTTATATTACTACACAGCTCAGGTGTGTTCTTCGTGTATGATCCAACACTTGATCCAACAATGTATAATGAGTGGCTGAAACTCAACAGTCAACCATTAAAAAAGTACAACATCAGGAACATGTTATCCAAGTCTTGATTTTGAAATGATCATCCAGAAGTACAAGTTTAAACTGAACTAGACTGACACCAAAACGCTCACAACCAAACAAAAAATACAAGTCACCATGTTTACAATGCAAACTGAAAAAGTGGAAACACAAAACTTAAAAACAAATTGACACCACCAACTAATGGGAGGAATTTCAAAAATAAAAATACACAAACTTCTATTTTTTCAGTGAATGTCCTTTCAACCCTCAATTAGAATTGACTTTATGATTTGTTCCAGACACACCTTCACCAAGTCTCCACTACACAAAATTTATTTGGGAAAAAAAACTACAAATAAGAGATGAAAACTATTTGTCAGTGTTGAGGAACTGACGAAACCACAGGCACCATCTTACCTTCAGTCAGATACACAAGGTCCTCTGTTAGCATTAACGACAAAGTGTTTTTGATAAAAACATAATAAAATGTGACCATAAATTCAAGGTTAAAGTCATTACTTTCCATGAAAACAAGTGTTCTTCACTCTATTTTCCCAAATGAAATTGGAAAAATAGATAAAGGAAGAAACAAAATGATCTCTGGAAAGGAAAGACTTTCTGTCATTGCAATCAAAAATCTGATTGAAAGATCAAATTTTGTATGTGGCAGTTATTAAAATTCAATCTTTCATCAACCATTTGTATTGATTTGAATTACATCTAATTTTTATCCAAAACCATTTGTCTTTCACAAAACTAAGTTTATGTAAGCATGATTTGCTAAAAGAAAAATAACAAACATGAGCTGAAATCAATGTATAATTATTACTGTATTTTACACTTCATTCACAAGTCAATATGGAATTAAGCATATCTATATTTATAAGCAAGAGTGAAATGATTGGAAGATGTCTGGGGGGGTTTTCAAAGAAAACTTATATATTAACTTGTATATTAACCAATGAGGAGAGAATAATGAGGAGGGAGTTTTATGTTAACCAATGAGGAAGGAATTGTATACTAACCAATGTGAGTGAGGAATTGCATATTAACCAATGAGGAGTGAGTTTCATATTAACTAATGAGGAGTGAGTTTTATAATAACCAATGAGGAGGGAGTTGTATATTAACCAATGGGAAGGGATTGTATATCAACCAATGAGGAAGGAATTGCATATTAACCAATGAGGAGGGAGTTGTAAATCAACCAATGAGGAAGGAATTGTATATTAACCAATGAGGAGGGAGTTGTATATTAACCAATGAGGAATGAGCAAACGGGAAGACAGTTGTAAATCACCAATTTGGAGGGCTTCATACATTAACCAATGAGAAGGTAGTTCTGTTGCATACCTTCCATGACACTACTGCTGGTAATGTTAGTAAGTTCCTTTTCTGGGTCCTTATCACCTCCTTTGCCTCCTTTCACACTAGTGTGTGACTTCTTGTCCTCCATAGGTGTAGGTGGAGGGTCATGCCAACGTGACAACGAGGAAAAGTTCACTACTATTTCTGTTGGCTTCAGGTTATCCACATCTTTTTAGCAGTCAAGGATTTGTCTTACATTCCTATTCTTTGTTGATAATTTCAGTAATGATGATATATCATCACACATATAATACACAGTAAAGAAATCTCAGTGTAGTTTATAGAGCTGGTACATACACTTTTCTACTGGTTTCCATTCCGCAAAATGAAAAATATTATTAAATACCAAATGACATGTTAAAAACCTGTTATATTTTAACCTTACAAAATATAACTAAATTAATTACATGTAACAGTAAGGATACACAGATAGTGGGGTGACTTGTCATCTGTTCCCGAAGTCTGTAGAAATACAAGGTTACCTGATTAGTATATTTAACAGTTACACAGGTAGCAGTTTCTTTTTCATTTATAACGCTTTTCTTTTCCATTATCAAAGCGCATTTACTTTTAATACCTATTTCTTCATATGACAGTTGATGGTGTTATTTTGCTTAACTACAAAGAATATTTGTGTAACATGCAAATGCTAAATAAATGACATTCACGTGTAATGTATAATTCTAGATAAATCAAATATTTATTTTGTGGAGGATATATTTTCAATCATTATCCATAAAAGCAGACTAAGGATGTTGAACACATTGTCATTACGGTGAAATCTTCACGAAACATCAATCCACACCTGTGCATTTGTAATGTGATTGTGTGCTTAACAAACAAATTTAAAACTCTTATTTTCCCCATCTAAAAACTTACAACGCAAAATACGTTTGATCAGACATCTCCGGTCAATCATAAAGTTAATGTCATAGAAACACATTTTTTTTTTTTGTTATGTATTTTTCTTCAGTTAGTGCTGTTACTGATAAGTAGAACAATTTGCAATAAAAAAAGGTTTTAGCAGTAAGTCATGTACACAAAAAAAGCAGGTGATTTAGGGCATGCAAGTAACAGCAGACATTGTATTCTCATGCAGTTCGAGGATCTAAACACAAATCACTTATCAATAGTTCCTTCATTATCAACGGGTGAAGGAAGTCAGATATGTTTTATGTGGGGTTTGGAGTGGGTGGGGGTTTGTTCACATAATTTAAGTTAATTATCAATAGAAGTAAAAGTCTATCTATTCAATATGTTTTTTTAAACTTTAGTTCAAATCACTCAGTGTTATACATACTGACAAACGCTCTGACAACTGGAGACTGTCCACTTTTACTCGGAATCCTGACTAGCACATTATAAATTTGATGAATTCAACTCGGAGCTGAAATACTTCCAGGTTACATACATTCTTTTTCAAGTTTATTGGTAAAAGTAAACAAACATTTATAATTATTCTACTGCACAAGATCACTAAGACGAACCATGCAAGGTAAAAAATAGAATTACAAGGACGGCTGTGTAGATATATAAAGCCAGAAAACGAGACAATATGGACTGCTAGAATATAACATGAAAGCATAGAAATTAGTGCAGATGTTTTTATATAACTACTAAGATTTAATGACTTGATATAATAATGTATCTACTATATGCAAGGATATTTATAACAAAATAAATTTAAGCAAAGGAGTATCTGGCACTATCTGATAGGGAAGTATATGATAAAGAGATATGGCTGCTTAGAACACCTGGATCAGGTGTACACAGCAGTCAAGTTCTGTATATACAAGCATACAAGGTCAACTTCACTGCAAGGTCAAGGTCAACGAACTATCACCTCTCATTCCTACGTACCACACATAGGGTAGGCAGGTGATAATTGTGATAGGTGTAAATCTGTGATAAACATATCAACAAAGTGTGGGTATTCTAACACCTCACATTAGCCCAAGTACATATCATTTCTTCTTCTACTTCAAAACGAAAGTGCAAACCAAGCCATTGTTTAAAATGATACCTCTATCTGGTGCTCAAATACTGTCTATTCATCTCTACAAACTAGGGGTAAAAGGCATTAAGTCATATGCACATCACTTTATATTATATTTTTTTTCAATAAACTACTTGTAAAATGCTATCTGTCAATGAATAGTTCAATAATTTCTATTATGTTCCTTAAAGTATTAATGTAAACATATCAGCTCTAAATTTAACCTAACACTTTTTCGCCAATATCAGGGCAAAACCCAAGGCTCTCAGTATTCAGTGGCAAGAGAAATGTTTCAGGGAACTCCAGGCCAAAACAGAACCCTGGTTTAACATCAGGCTAACATATATCAAGTCATCACAGAGAATGACTTCACCACTTCATCATCTTTGTATATATCTAGCAGTGGGAATGCCTGCTCCAGTAGAATGTGTTAATGGAGCAAACTGCTAGCTACGTGTACACAGAAAGGGAAAACAGATTCCTTCCTTATTGTCATTGGCACCTTATAATACCATTTCATGTTATATAGAACACAGTCTACTATAATATAAACACCTCTGTATGAAGTTGGGTAAAGAGGCAATATATTACTTAACTTTTCCAGTGTAGTAGCACGGACTGTGGTAGTAGTCACTATTGCAGATGCTATTATCAACCTATATGAGTTAATGAAGATGTTGTACTGGATGAACAGGGAATGAGTTGGATGAAAACCCTACGAGATGAGCCTTGAGCCTGAGAGCCTTGGGTTGGGGAGTCCATGCAGTGAAGTGTGACAGGCTATACTCACACTGAGGGTGTTTGTGGGAGAAGGTGCTTGCATATGGGTAGGAGTTTGAGCAGTCTTGGAGGAGGAGGTATTTACCCCAGCAGTGTTGGGTGCTGTCTTCTTGTCTCCCTTGCCGGTGGGAGCTGTGGATGCAGTGACGCTCTGTAATGTGAAGCTTAGTCAAACAAGGTCTACAGTGACAAACATAACCCAAACCTCTCCACTTCCTTGCAAAACCAAGATAGCTATATAACTCTATGAGTATTTGCTTTGTATTAAGTTGTTTTTTAAATTAATAATCATGGAGGGAAGTTTCTCTCGTCACGACAAGTTACAGCAACGAAAAGCACCACTAAAGGATGCCTCTTACCCCAACTAAGCTCTGTCATGTAGTCAGATTATAATATACAATGTCAATAAAGACATTTTTAAAATACTGCTGAAACAATCCTCCATGATTTAACAAAACTGTGATATTAAATTCAACTTAAATTAAACTCAAGCATGCAAACTTCAATTATATACAAAACAAACAATTTAAGTTTGTATTTAAATGTTACTGACAGCAGTTCATACAACTGAACACACGAAGCAATAAACTAAAAAAATTAAGCCAACAACACTCCTATCACAAAAAATAAAATTTAAAATATAGCAAGTTAGGTGTATATCAAGCAAACACTGCTGGGAAACATCTGGTTATGAATGTTCATGCTGTTTCACTGAACAGTCAGTAGCTTATAACTAAGTTCTTCATCTGTTGGTAAAAAAACCTATTTAATATCTACAAGCTGGAAGTATGTGCACAAAGAATAGAAATGTGAATACTAACGATGAATAGTCAAATATTACAACTATAGAGAAATGTCTGAAGGTGACACATGTAACAGAGGTCTGACCACAGTAGTGACTGTACCTAGATAGTCCCTCATACTTTTACTTCTATACTATTCTTATATTGTTATACAGGTATTATTCCTACATTGTTATTTTTATGAGCTACTCTGAGACATATTTTATACCTAACACATGTAGTACATAATAGCACTATTTATGTCTTTCCCTTAATTAACACATGATATTTATAGATAATTACAGATACCTGGTACATCCAATTAAGTATTTAAAAAATTCAACAACTTGGAAAAAAACAATAAATGATGTTTCAGTAGCCGATATAGATTTGTCAAGTTATATACAATCATTAGCACTACAGCAACAACACTGCCATTATCTGGGATGTACTTTTTACTGAATATATCCTAAAAGGTGAAGGAAATACCTAAAACAATGCTGCCATGTAACTGATGCTGTGTACCATCCATTTAAAGAAGTAAGAAGTACCTGCCTGATGTAGACAATAGAATAACTAGACATAGGTATATCAGTCAGCATTGAAACATCTGTTTAGGAACAGAAAACAACCCATAATATTCAAGCAAATCTAAAAGATCCATCCAAAGTGTACAAGTGTATCGTCACAGACGAAAAAGAAAGAGACATGCATTATAAATGTAAGGGGAGAGAAGCAGGATACCACCTACACAGGACAGCAACCAAGTTATCTCCCCTAGACTAACAGGATCAACCTACACAGGCGGCCATCAAGTTATCTCCCCTAGACTAACAGGATCCAACCTACACAGGACAGCGACCAAGTTATCTCCCCTAGACTAACACCACAGCTTTTCTATTACAGTTCTGTAAAATAAAATGACAAGTGCCATGCATGTCTACACAAAATGACAAGTGCCATGCATGTCTACACAAAATGACAAGTGCCATGCATATCTTCACACTGCTGGCCCTATATGGCCATACTGAAGCGAACAAATTCCATTAGTTAGTGGCATTGATCACGTCTAATTTGAAAGTGACTATCAGGAAACTTATTTTCAAGCTGGTAATTATTTATATATATATATATATATATAATAAAGTCAGTAAAACCATGCTGACAGAACACTATCATTTCATTAATATCATGGTATTTCCAGACATTATTTTGACAGACCAATATTTTACTGTATGCTTTTATCAACATTTTGCTGTTGTTTATAAAAATTAACCATCAGCTTCAGGTTGTATAACTATACTGATATCCATCTTGAAATTATTACAAACAACTGCTTTATATCCAATACATTCTGATCTCCAATGTTCTCTGTGGCAGTAAACTGATATCCCGGTATATAAAGTGAGCTAGAATATGAGAGAATGTTTTAAACTATTTCTCTGCAAAATTTTCAGAATAAAATTAGTATTGAATAATGCCTGTACATATGGCAAATCATAGCATAAAATTTCAGGTAACAAACAGCTTGTTGAATATAGTTTTGCAAATTGTGAGGTACCTCGTTAAACACAAAGAACTAGCACCTGGCTTGGAGATTGGTGCTGGTGATACAAGCACACAGTAATAATGATAGATCATAGCAGGGACGTATAACTATATACTGTCCCTGATCATAGCAGGGACGTATAACTATATACTGTCCCTGATCATAGCTGTATGTTCATGGCTTGTTTCTACATGCTGGCAATTGAATTTTAGGTACCTCATAAACTGCAAAAAAAAAAAATATATCCAAGAATAAACTAAATAAGACATACCTGAGTACTTAACTGTAAATCACAAACAATGATTTGTTATCAACTGTTCTTTATTTGTGTGTATTAATAGATAAAAAGAGAACATTTTCAGTAATACTTTGTGCAACCGTATTCTTCAGTGGGGGAGCCCTTCAGTGCTACAAAAGTCTGAAGCCACAACCATCAATACTAAACACTGGACATGCCTAGACAGGAAAGCTGGCCACTACTTCTACCTGTAGCTTAATTAGCAGTTTACACAGGTAGAACACTACAGGTGTTTCATAGGTCACTGTCTCTGATTATATTACAACATCTGCATGCATGCCTATATATATATATAATATGGAGGAACAGGGAAAGCTTTGATTTCTGAAAAATCCCACAACAAACCTGTATATTGTATATTTTTTCCAATTTCTTCCAGCGTGGAATAAAAAATAGAAAATTTACACTTAATTTTTTATAAACAACACTACTACAAACGTTTTACTACAGTTTAAACATTTCTACCATGAGATAAAATTTAAAATAGGCAGACATCTTTTTCACCAACAAACATGTTAGGTTCTGAATTAGTTTCCCCTGTGATTTTAGATATGCTATCGAACATCAATCTGTTGATGATAAGTTTAAATTCAGCGACTGAAATCATGCATTATGTGGTTAAAAGCCAGCACACACATTACACTGGTGTGTTGGGGTATCACACGTCCGATGCCAGGGAGTGGTCTACATACCCGACACCAGCGGGACTATACTGGCTGGCTGACAAGCTCCAGGGGAAACTTGTACACCAGGGCAGGGACACTTACCTTCAGGTCGGAGACCTTCTGGTTGCAGCCATATGTATGAGGCTTGTGACAGATGTACAGAGTCCTACAAATACATACACATATTGTTAACTTTTGTCATAATAATTCTCTTAAGAGGTAACATTTAATACTCACAGGTAATATTTGATAAACTAACAACCCAGTGGGGGTAACCTGTCTGGTGTTCAATTGGGAGGTAACAAATTGGGTAAACCTAGCTGTTTGGGGTTACCTGCCAGATAACCTGTAAGGGTTACAGCAACTGTATTATAGGAGGTAATATGTATAGATATTGATGAGACACTCAGAACTTAGACATATATTTTACGATAGAAAAGAAAGGGAGGATCAATGTAATTCTGTGTATTAATTTGTGTAAATTTTAAATCTGTTTTTGTTTATATAATATTCTGGTATCCCAAAAAAAAAAAAAAAATGGTTGCACATTGAATTTTATTAGGCATAAAATATGAAAAAAAAGACATACTTAAAACATTTACAGAACTCCTCAAAATCCATCCAGACTTTCTTTGGCTTTGCCTCCTCCTCCTCTGCCTTTGCCTCCTCTGTGGTCGGCTGTTCCTGCCCCTCTTCTCCTTCCTGGACTGGATCCTCTGGCTCCGTTGGAGGAGGGGGAGGTGCAAGACCGGAGTCAGCTTGTTGCAAGGCTCCTGCCACAATGAAGAAACTATGGTCAATATGTATACTAGAAAATGTTGGGAAAATATATGACCCAACTCCCATTTTGATGGCAAAATTAACCAAAGAAATAGAGCTGAACAGCAGAAATATAGGTCACAGTGACCTACATTTGGTATATTGGTGTAGTTGATCAGTATAGTATTCATGTACATTTGTATAATTTTTAGACTTCTAGTATTTGAGTAATGCAGCTGATCATAAAGTTTAACCAAGATGTTGTACATATGAACAGAAACAACAGAACAGACAAACGTAAAATATCCCCTCCCAATAGGATGCAGGAGCATCAGAATTACTAGCAACATCAATGTTTTGCCTCCATTTCATTGTTTCAATTGTCAATATCGTTTAGTTTATGTCAAGGTCGTTGTTATATATTTACAACTCACCTTTGAGTTTGTCCTTGTCATCTTGTTCCTTCTTACTTGACCTGGAATCTGACCTGCCTGCACTCTTGCCTCGGTCAGGTTTAGTGGACCTGTCAGCACTGCCACTCTTCCTGGGTATCTTAGGGGAAGACTGGAGGCCAGTAACAATGAGAAACAAGTCAGGACAGCACTTCACACACTGTACTTTATACAGTGTTTTACAATAACCAATCTCAAGATTAACTATACTTTATCATGGTCAACAGTGTTATATTGCATTGAAATAAATAGAATTTTGACTTTTACTTAAATTGCATTTTAAAATAACTTTCAAATCTATAATATACGATAATGTATTATCATTTAAATACTAGAATTTTCAACCCAGTTATTTAATGTGAAGCGGTTAGTAACATACCAAACAACAATTAGAAGCTTTCAGTACACCAAAGATATCCTGATACATAACTAGAGAAATTACAATTGTATCACACTCAAACATCATCATATCAAGTAAAAAAATACCATAGTAACCAAGGTAACTAATATAATGGTTACCATGCCAACTATACCATAGTTACCAGGGCTTCTAATATATATGGTTACCAGGCCAACTATACCATAGTTACCAGGGCTTCTAATATATATGGTTACCATGCCAACTATACCATAGTTACCAGGGCTTCTTATATATATGGTTACCAGGCCAACTATACCATAGTTACCAGGGCTTCTAATATATATGGTAACCATGCCAACTATACCATAGTTACCAGGGCTTCTTATATATATGGTTACCAGGCCAACTATACCAAAGTTACCAGGGTTTCTAATATATATGGTTACCAGGCGAACTATACCATAGTTACCATGGCTTTTTATGTAATGGTTCCCTGGCCAACTATGCTATAGTTACCAGGACATCTGAAATCAATGGTTACCATGCCAACTATACCATAGCTACCAGGGCTTCTAATATATATGGTTACCAGGCCAACTATACCATAGTTACCAGGGTTTCTAATATATATGGTTACCAGGCCAACTATACCATAGTTACCATGGCTTTTTATATAATGGTTCCCTGGCCAACTATGCTATAGTTACCAGGACATCTGAAATATATGGTTACCATGCCAACTATACCATAGTTACCAGGGCTTCTAATATATATGGTTACCAGGCCAACTATACCATAGTTACCAGGGCTTTTAATATATATGGTTACAAGGATAACTATGCTATAGTTACCAGGGCTTTTAATATATATGGTTATAAGGACAACTATGCTATAGTTACCAGAACAACTAATATATATGGTTACTATTCCAACTATACCATAGCTACCAAGGAACTATACCATGGCTACCAAGGCATCTAAAATATATGGTTACCTTGCCAACTATACCATGGTTACCAGGGCATCTAAAGTATATGGTTACCTGACCCACTAATATTTTGATATGATTGCCAGGCCCCACTTGCACATTTTAACCAGTTTTTGAAATATGTTCTGGAATTTTAATTTATTGGACTTTGTTAAACGGCATGATTTTTCAATGGGATTCCTACATAATGCCTGAAATATAATATCAACTCTCCAAAAGCTAATCCAAATCTTAACCCTTTAGACATGGGGAATATCATCAATCTATTTTGTATAAGTGGGGCAAGCTAAATAACTCAAGCCTAGAAAACCTAGGGCAAGCAAAGTTAATTCTTTGTTTCTCAGGCAAAATTTCCTGCATACTTGATTGGGAAATGATCTTTTTATTTTAGATGCAAGAAGGACATTTTTACATTATGCCTTTTTTTCTTTTGATGATAAAAGGATTGTTTTTGTCTGTTTTTCTCCCTTTTTTCAATTTAGAAAGTAAAAAACTAAAAGTACATTTATATTCAAACTACTCACTATAATCTCTTTTAATACCTGATCATTTCATTCACCAATCTTATTAGTCTCAATTAACACCTCCATTCAGTCCACCCATTATGGCAGTCATTTTCGATGACAGTTTTGAACCAAAGTTATCTTCCAAAGATCAAAAGAATTTAGGAAGTCAATTACTTGTCTCAACTTGCCACTTCATAAAGCAAATAGTCAGTCTGTCACAGTACAAACGGTACTTGAAATAAAGCTAAGTTTAATCTGTTATCCTTAAAGCATATTTGTGATCTGCAGATATACGCAGAAGAATAAACAGAGTCCTTTCTAGAAGAATAAACAGAGTCCTTTCTAGAAGAATAAACAGAGTCCTTTCTAGAAGAATAAACAGAGTCCTTTCTAGAAGAATAAACAGAGTCCTTTCTAGAAGAATAAACAGAGTCCTTTCTAGAAACAGTAGGGCAAAAGCTGAAAGCAGAAACACAATCCCCATCCCCAACCTCTAATTTACCTTATATACACTTAAAAATGTTTTCCAGAAAATGGGTGATGCAGAAGGTTTAGAATTGTTAAGAACATGCATTATAAGAATCAAAGAATTAACTTTAAATGACCCTGTGTCTAATACATAGGATTTAGTGTCTGGCATTGATTTTGATCTTTTAATAAGTTGGAAGGCTCTCTAAAGATGGATGTGACATGTAAAGGCTTGACCTTGTGACCTTTTATTTGACCCCTGACCTACCTCACGGCTGACCATTTTGCCTCCCTCCTGTGTTTCCTTGCCCTCCTTCTTGGCCACAGAAGACTTGCGTCTCCCTGTACGGGGCCCTGGACTAGACGGCTTTGCTTCAGGCTTACTCTCTTTTTCTGGCTCTGGTTGTTCTACTGGCTCCTTATTTAAATAAGGTCAAGGTCAGAATAGCAAGGTCAAGATGACTGGTTACCATAGTGGTAGCGGGATGGAGATGATAGATGATGCTGTTTACCTAACTGCACCTTTATGCCTAGCAGTTACTATATTTCTAATCTACAGTAATTTGCAAATAAATTGTATAAAGCATATTTAGCCAATAATAAGAAACCACTCAACAGTTAGTTTCAACATTAAAACACTATAAACCAAACTCAACACCAACATTAGAACAAATCAATACTTATGAACCATACACCAAATTTAATATAAAGTGGTACACTTTGATATGCAAGGATTAACGCTATAGTTATCATATTTTAATAACTGTAAACTGAAAAATGTCTATGTCCACATAATTCACTGACTTGTTAAATTATACATGTTGTTAATTTAACCAAATTTCAAGAAAAGTTAATTTCATATACATGTATTGATAAGTTAAGTAACACTCAAAGTACCACAACAACTAAATGAAACAAAACTGAACACTAATATAACTGTCTCCAAATAATGTTAGTAAACCTATAAACCTAGCTCTGGTAAGGACATCAAGATTAAAATGTCTTCCTCAAGGGCCCAATTCTGGCATTACCATGTAGACTTTTTGTAGTAACTTGAGAAAAAGCTCAAGGCCTATATATGCTGGTTTCAGAATCCAGTTGTATTTTTTTCACAAATTAAAATTGTTAATCTAACATGGTTTTGAACTGGCTGTAAAGAAGAGGCCGAAAGGTCACACTTGAGTATCTAAAATGTAGACTAGCCACACCAGCACTGGTTTACAGTTCACCATTAGTCACACTACAGGTACTAATGTAACCACGCCTACCTCTGCCTGGGGGGGTTCATTCACTACCTCCCCCTCAATTTTCACCATTTCCGGAGCATTTTCATCAGTCTCCTCTATTGAAGTGGACTTGGGGCGTGACCGTGTACCACCTCTCTCCAATGATGACCGTGGGCGATGCCTTTATATTGAAAACAAATATATATATCAACCTTAGAGATTGTAGGCAATATAAAGAAGATGAATCAATAAAAAAGGAGGTATGTTTAAATAATAAGTTCTGTAGCACAAATCGAATACTAGCTATATTTACTTTGTGTTTACTACCATGTAATGTATACTAGCTCTGGGTATGGACACTGGTCTACTGACAAACAGTTTTACTAATATCTCAGTGGGTACAGATAATGGTCTACTGACAGTTTTACTTACATCTCAGGGGGTACAGATACTGGTCTACTGACAGTTTTACTTACATCTCAGTGGGTACAGATACTGGTCTACTGACAGTTTTACATACATCTCAGTGGGTACAGATACAGGTCTACCGACAGCTTTACTTACATCTCAGTGAGTACTGATACTGGTCTACTGACAAACAGTTTTACTTACATCTCATTGGGTATAGATACTGGTCTACTGACAAACAGTTTTACTTACATCTCAGTGGGTACAGATACTGGTCTACTTTCAGTTTTACTAATATCTCAGTGGGTACAGATAATGGTCTACTGACAGTTTTACTAACATCTCAGTGGGTATAGATAATGGTCTACTGACAGTTTTACTTACATCTGAGTGGGTATGGATACTGGGCTGACTTTGAAGTTTACAGATACTGGTCTACTGACAGTTTTACTTACATCTCAGGGGGTACAGATACTGGTCTACTGACAGTTTTATTTACATCTCAGTGGGTACAGATACTGGTCTGCAAACAGTTTTGCTTATGTCAAAGTGAGTACAGATACTGGTCTACTGACGGTTTTACTTATGTCAAAGTGAGTACAGATACTGGTCTCCTGACAGTTTTACTTACATCTCAGTGGGGACAGATACTGGTCTACTGACAGTTTTACACGGGTCTACTGACAGTTTTACTTACATCTCAGGGGGTACAGATACTGGTCTACTGACAGTTTTCCTTACATCTCAGTGGGTACAGATAATGGTCTACTGACAGTTTTACTGATGTCAAAGTGAGTACAGATACTGGTCTACGGACAGTTTTACTTATGTCAAAGTGAGTACAGATTCTGGTCTACTGACAGTTTTGCTTATGTCAAAGTGAGTACAGACCCTGGTCTACTGACAGTTTTACTTATGTCAAAGTGAGTAAAGATACTGGTCTACTGACAGTTTTACTTATATCTCAGTGGGTACAGATACTGGTCTACTGACAGTTTTACTTACATCTCAGTGGGTACAGATACGGGTCTACTGAGAGTTTTACTTATGTCAAAGTGAGTACAGATACTGGTCTACTGACAGTTTTACTTACATCTCAGTGGGTACAGATAATGGTCTACTGACAGTTTTACTGATGTCAAAGTGAGTACAGATCCTGGTCTACTGACAGGTTTACTTACGTCTCAGTGGGGACAGATACTGGGCTACTGACAGTTTTACATATGTCAAAGTGAGTATAGATACTGGTCTCCTGACAGTTTTACTTATGGCAAAGCGAGGACAGATACTGGTCTACTCACAGTTTTACTTACATTTCAGTGGGTACAGATAATGGTCTCCTGACAGTTTTACTGATGTCAAAGTGAGGACAGATACTGGTCTACTGGCAGTTTTACTTACGTATCAGTGGGTATAGATACGGGTCTACTGACAGTTTTTCTTACATCTCAGTGGGCACAGATACTGGTCTATTGACAGTTTTACTGATGTCAAAGTGAGTACAGGTCTACTGACAAACAATTTTACTTACATCTCAGTCGGTACAGATAATGGTCTACTGACAGTCTTACGTACATCTCAGTGGGTCCAGATACGGGTCTACTGACAGGTTTACTTACGTCTCAGTGGGAATGGGTACTGGGCTGCAGTTTTACTTACATTTCAGTGGGTACAGATAATGGTCTCCTGACAGTTTTACTGATGTCAAAGTGAGGACAGATACTGGTCTACTAGATACTGGTCTACAAACAGTTTTACTTACATCTCAGTGAGTGCTGATACTGGTCTACTAACAAACAGTTTTACTTACATTTCAGTGGGTACAGATACGGGTCTACTGACAGGTTTACTTACATCTCATTGGGAATAGCTACTGGTCTACTGACCTCAGTGGGTACAGATACTGGCCTACTGACAGTTTTAATTACATCTCAGTGGGTCCAGATACGGGTCTACTGACAGGTTTACTTACGTCTCAGTGGGGACAGATACTGGTCTATTGACAGTTTTACTTAATGTATACTAGCTCTGGGTATGGACACTGGTCTACTGACAAACAGTTTTACTTACATCACAGTGAGTACAGATACTGGTGTACTGACAGTTTTACCTATGTCAAAGTGAGTATAGATACTGGTCTACAGACAGTTTTACTTACATCACCGAGGGAACAGAAAAAGGCCTACTGACAGTTTTAATTACATCTCAGTGGGCACAGATACTGGTCTATTGACAGTTTTACTTATATCTCAGTGGGTACAGTTACAGGTCTACCTACAGCTTTACTTACATCTCATTGGGAATAGCTACTGGTCTACTGACCTCAGTGGGTACAGATAATGGTCTCCTGACAGTTTTACTGATGTCAAAGTGAGTATAGATACTGGTCTCCTGACAAACAGTTTTAATTAAATCTCATTGGGTATAGATACTGGTATACTGACAGTTTTACGTACATCTCAGTGGGTACAGATAATGGTCTACTGACAGTCTTACGTACATCTCAGTGGGTAAAGATACTGGTCTACTGACAGTTTTACTTACGTCTCAGTGGGTATGGGTACTGGGCTGACTTTGTAGTTTAGGAAGGAAGAGGTGATCTCTATACACTGGATTGGTTTGGGGGGTTCAGGTGTGGCTGTAAATATATACAACATGTTTATAACATCTACTATACTACATAATAACAACACAATTTGTTTTGTTCTCATATCATGAAATTCTTAGAAACAAATTATACCTTATTATAACAAGGTCAACAATACATAAAAGTTGAAAGAGAGATAAACTTACAAACTGGTTCATCTGAAGGTGTCTTTTTCTTCTTTTTGGGTCTAATCAATTTCCATGCAGGTATTTTCTCTGGAGGGGGTGGGGGCTCTAGAGGGCAGGACCTTGTCTGGGTAATACACACAGGGTGTGGATACAGATGAGACAGACCATTCTGTCGAAGCTTCTCACTGGCGTCAGCCTGGGGACGGAATATACCAGTACATTGTTATTTACATACAAAACAAGTACACTTTTTCACTCGCTAAACATGTACTGGTAGGTGCAGCATATATGAACCAATATTGCTTTAGAAATATATGAAAAACATGTGATTTACCATTTCACCGAGGACAGAAACTTTAACAGGGTATTTGGGAGTGCTCCAGTATGTAGCAAACACCACAACCTCTGGCTTCTCTGGAACAGGGATATCCTCCAATGTGGACTTCTCCTCTGTAAAAACAACACAAATCAGTAAGTCACACACCTAACAGGGCTACCAGGTAAACTCTGATGTCATACAGGGCTACAGGGGATAATCTGTTGTCTTACAGGGCTACAGGGTATACTCTGATATCTTACAGGGGATATTCTGATGTCTGACAGGGCTACAGGGGATATTCTGATGTCTTAAATCTATGGGATACTCTGATGTCTGACAGGGCTACAGGGGATATTCTGATGTCTTACAGGGCTACAGGGGATACTCTGATGTCTGACAGGACTACAGGGGATACTCTGATGTCCGACAGGACTACAGGGGATACTCTGATGTCTGACAGGACTACAGGGGATACTCTGATGTCTGACAGGACCACAGGGGATACTCTGATGTCT